TTGGAATAGATGCCATCCCCCATCGACCCCATTTCAATCAACCACCCCTGGCCCCTGGCCCTGCTCGCAGAAGTTGTGCAGTGCCAGTCCCCATCGATGTAAGTCGATGATCGTTCGTGACGGCTTGGAAGCGCATCGCCGAGTGCTGTCTTGGAGGTTCAAACTGCTGTGAGGTGCAAACTTTACAGATGCGACACATGGTGACGAAGGGGGGGAGCCAAAACCCTGATAAAAGGGCCCCAATAAGGCATCTTTCGGGTGTTGAACCAATGAAAGGGTCTGTTCATCAGTTTATTGTTTTTTAATATATATAAGAGTGTGTCTGTTTCCAGGGGTAAAGCTTTAAGAACTATACCACGACTTGGAACTCCAACAATACATGTTTAACAATCTCATATCATATGATATTGAATACAATAGCTATACCCCAACAGGCCTGTGATCACCGCGCGCCGCACGGGCCGTTCCGCCTCCTTGAAAGTTGGCGAAGCGCATGGGATCCTGTGGAATCCGTCGTCCCGTTGGACGGAGCGGGTGAGCGAGAATGTGTCGGGAATCACTCCAAATGGGCGAGGTGTTCTGATGGTGGAGAGCCAGTTTGGAGACTTAGGATATCTTAGGATTGTATTTGAGCAGTTTAACGTCAGTTGCACAGGATCTTGTATATTGGGCCAATATTGGGTCATTGCAGCATTGCGATCGATAGAGAGCTTGAAAAGCACAGTTCCAAGCATCACGAGCAAAACATACGCATGCAGTCGAAACCTGAGACTCAAAATCACTCAGACTCGTTCTTGTCAAGAAAGCACTTCTGCTTGTCATCAATCTCACAAAGGAAAGCACGACGCCGCACCGAGCAATTGACTCAGAAACTCGGCTCCTTCCTTCGGCCCGTTTGAAATCCTCAAGCAAACTCTACCAGGGGATACCAGGCGTCTCGTCAACCAAGCGTTTTTAGCCGTATAGGTCGGTCAGGCCATCCATCCGTCGTGCCTTGAAGCGTTTGAGGAAGAGCGCTGGGAGCCCCTCCGTGCTGCTACTTTGAGCCTCCTCGCACAACGTCCGGTCCTGGAGCGTAGGTCGGGTCCCCGGATCCCATGAAAGGTAGGAAGGGCCCAAAGGAGGATGAACAACAGGGCAACAAAAACGATGTCTAAATCCTACGAACACCGATATTTGTCAGGGAAGACGTCTTCCTTCACCAGTGCTACGTTTCACCCTCGTGAGTTTCTTTCACCCAAAAGCCTCGGAAAACGGCTCCTCTCCGACCTTGTCAAGGGAATCTCGGAGCCGACTGCAGGCGGCCTCCAACCTGCCGGTGGAACGAGCCGGTGGAACCATCCCAATTCGGGCGTGGAAATGCGGGGCGGCCTCGATGGATTCACACAGCTACACTCCATGGATTCACACAGCTGGATGTGGAAAACCACCGGTTTGGTAGAGGAACACGGTTATCCCAAAGGGCCAGTTTCTACTTTTGATTACTTCACGGAGTGTAAGTCTTCAAAACTTTCAGGCCGTTTTAGGCGGTTCTCTTCAGAAGACACAGCTTCCGAAGCATCTGATTCACCATCATAACTTGTAACTATATTATATATACATCTCTGGACATCTCTGGAAAGTGTCATCAGATTGTTTTGCGGCTTCCGAGCTGCTCCAAATGGAGAACATCCGCAACCGCACCTTGTTCAATAAAACCCCATGACAAATGAACCAACCTGACGCACCCAAACGGTTTCTCTTCCAGGATCCTCCTGTCTGGGTGTCCTGTCTGGGGGTCTGAGTAGTCTATGGATGTGACCCGTTGGATGATCCAGGTCCGTGATGTTTCCACTAAGGTCTTGGATGTTTCCATCAGGGTCATGACAGTCATTCCCCCAGGTTTTCCTTCTTCCGAGGAGCGCGTCATGCCCAGCTTTCCAGTTCCCATCCAGCTCTTCTTTCAACCTGGCATCTACGGCCAAACGGTGCTGGAAGGTGCTTTCAACGGTGCATCCAAACGATCCAAAGACCGAGAAACCATTGAAACCGCAGGAAACCACCCCAAATGCACCGTTCGGACGTTGACCGGATGCAAGAACCGACCAATGACGGCAGTGTTCGACTGACTTTTGCATGCTTTCACCTGGGTGTCTGGAACCATGCTGGCGGCTTGAATCCAATCCATGCAAGGCCGACGCATGAACTTTGCCATAGGTCCGGTCCTTAGAAGAAAGAAAGTAAGTGTCGGGGAAAAAAATTGATCCAACAGGTACCAAGCATCGACTTCACCATGAAATACAAAGGTGAGTCCACGGTGTTCACATGAGTTCGCCACCCAAAGCTATACCAGCACCCTCCAACTTATGATGGCTCTTGGAGGCTTATATAAATGGTGTCGTTCGTGGTGACCTGTGAAAGTCGGGTGCTGGTAGGTGTTCCCAGATTGTTTGCACCATGGGCCATGGTGTTCCTTTTGGTATACCAATGCGTTCAGCTGCTTCTTGATATTCGTTCAGCCTTCTGTGCTTTTTGGAATCGGAAGACCGTTTTCTCAAAGCTGCAATGTATACCAGCATTCCAAATGCCTACAATAGTTTAACCTAAACAGGTGCACCTTCGTGGAGTAGTAGGTTGAGTTTAAAACCCCATCCGGTTCTCTGCTCAGGAGCCATGACTTCTCGACCACGCGCCCACTCCTGGAGTTCGGGAATCGGATCACAAATGGAACAACCGCTGTGGAAAGGAAAAGATAGGTGGACACGTAGATAGAACCAATAGAGGTATAACCGCACCAACAGTAAATTGATATAATATATATATATATTATATAGTAACTCATAAAAAAAAGAAAACAATGGACACATATTGTACCGAACACATTGTTTTGCTGGTAACGAAGCAGGTCTCCCCGGTTTTGGCGTGGATGTGTGGTAGAGTTGATTTGCCGCCCTTGATGTGTGGGTTGGCTCATCCTCCCACTGTTTGCATGTTTCATATTGAAACAACCATGGACTGACAAGCGCGCAACCATTCTGCCACTCCGTTTAAGCTTTGAACTGCACTCCGTCCATGAAGATCCGTGGCATGTGCAAAAACGTCAACCCTTCTTTTTCATGAGCCCCGTTCTACGGCATTTGAATCGTTCAATGTCTACTATCTACAGTAACTTGTCTCAAAAGGGGTCTTACCATGGATACCCCCCTACATCCCCCTACCCTCTCAAGATTCTCAAGGGGTGAGCAACAAACACAACCATTCTCACAGGGTCTCGGTATGACCAGGTGAACCTGGCCGCCACATCCATCGCTGGGCTGCCCGACTGCATTCATTGACTCGATCGCCTTCTTCAGCTCATCCTAGGATACAATACCTCCATATACCTCCAACCTAATAGAAATGGCCTCCAACCCAATAGGACGTTCTGTTTTGGTGGCAGACCAGTCCCAAACAATTTCATGACACTGGACCTACCTACACTACATGGGGGTGCTTTCAAGGTCCATACAACAAATAATTCAGATTCATAATGTAATGTTTCATATGTAATCAATAGGATTGGTTCGGTGTGTGGTGCTCTCAAACCAAACATGGTTCTTGCATCCACGTAGGCTACCTCCCCCTAGCCTTCCTGCCCGCGCTCCTTGAAAGAGGTTCAAACGGTCCCAGTGAAACAGAAAAACACTTGTGGGGGCAGAGACGGTCTTGGAGCCTCGTTCACCAATCCACAAAGCCAGTGGCGTTAGCAGTTGGGCAACAAAAACAGAACCTGAGAAACGGACAAGTAAGACATACTATCCTCTTCATGAAAGCATGAAACAGTCCGGTGTTGTCTTCCCAAACAATACTATACTGTATATTGGCTCTTTGTTTCAGAGCCAATCCAAGAAGGTGACAATATGTCCAAGTTCTGCCCTGGCCCAGCGGAAGTCTTTGAAGATTGAACGGCAGGGACGACGTAGCGCGACTTGGGGTCCATGCCACGACCTGATGCTTGGGCGGCAGGGGCTAGAGACGAAATGCAACTATAGGTGCACGAGCCGGCTCGTGAGCCAAGTCTGCGAAGAGCCAAGTCGTTGACACCCGAAACTTCGGACCTCCTTTCGGCCAGCCCATCATTGCCAAGGCTCCACATGCGATTTCAAGGCAGGAAGCTCCTCAAAGGAAGTACCTTCAACCGGGGCAAAACAAATGTACCCTCTGGTCATGCAGCGGCATGAACAAACTGCAGGCATATCAGAGTTGAGAAACCTCTAAGCTCCAAATTTGATCGAGAGATATTGAGAGCTGCTTGCCAATTAGGGATTCCGTCTCATTTAGAAAGAGGGGCTCGGGCGATGTAAAGTCTAGGCTGCTAGCCAGAAACAACAAGTTGATGGAAAACCCATGCATGCCATGCCCTTCCTCCCAGAAGTTAACATCCTTCCAACCCATCCACAGGATGTTGCAGGACTACACCTCCATTCGGATTGAACAACTCTTCATATGGGGGCGGGGTATTCATCAAGAATCTACATCAGTTGCAAAGAATGTGCTTCATGTCGACGGACGCCCGTGCCACGCCGGTCGGGTGGTCCCCACTGGACGCTGTGGTCAATCTGAGCAGGTCCGTCTTTGGGGCCATGGCGCTCAAGGTTGAAACAGGTGTTCGTCAGATGGATGATTCATGGGTTCGTACCATGTCGTCACACAAAACGTCTTTGGCACGTTTATACAAAGCCGCTGATCTAGGGCTTAGCATCCAGGTCGTTGGGGCTCATCATGTGTTGCCGATCGTTGTGCATTGCTCTTGTCTTCTTTTGTGGGATGCAAACATACGATCATGTTGGGTGATGTTGGGTGGAGAGGGATGAACAAAGGATTTTGATGGATTCTGAAGTAAAGAATCTCGTTGAAATGTTTTCAGGCAGTTCACATGTAGCTGAATGACGAGCAGCCGGCCAGTACCTCACATCACCGAGGCTAAATGGCCAGCCAGGAATTCGATGCTTCCAGTACATAGACCTTCCAGAATTCCAAATGGGGCAAGCGTTTTGAGCCGAATTCAGTGGATTTCGGACACCTTAGAGTCCTTCAAGCACCGAACTAAGGGTGCTCTTTGGACTCATGGCACCCGACCTTTCAAAATGTGTGGTGTCTTGGCTCGACTTCAGCTGGACAGCACCGATCCACCAAACTCTGTCCCTTAATGTCTGTCGGGTGATTGCAGGTCTGCAAAGCTCTTCTCGCAGGTGAAACACTGCAGCTCTTCTGCGTGAACTCAGAACTGCATGAACTTTGAGGGACTTTCGCAGCCCTTAGTGCGGCAACGTGCGACAGACGTTGAAAGAACAGTTCCAGAGTTTTGAAAGTATGCATGCATACAAATACAACATTCCGACTCAACAGTCCCTGGCTGCTTGTCGCTGGCCAGCGACCGAGGAAAAACAGAAAGCATAGGTCCGATGTTCCGTTTGGGTCGAGAAAGATGGAGGCTTTCACCATAAAGAAAGAGACTTTGCTTGCAGGAAAGTCCAGGTTCTTCATACAAAACGCGTGCCCTTGTGCAAACAGACAACTACCCAGCAGTGGTCTAGAAAAAGAGGCGGCCAGAAGTCCAACGCTTGACCACCCAAGTGGTTTCAGGACCCAAATCCCGCTACAAACGCCGCTGGGTTGTGCTGGTAGCCTAGAGTGCATGCTGAATTACTCCGCTTTGCAACTCTAAGTCTCTCAACACTTGGCTGCCCTGATGTATTGGCTGCCCTCGGAACCGCCTCCAATCCCCGATCCAAACGCCCATGTTCCTGGGCATTCCTGGGCCTTCCCAGCCACGTGCATTCGCCGAAGCAGCTGCAAGCGACTGAAGAACATGGGACCAAAGGACCTGGAACGGTCGTCTTCGTCTTCCAATCACTGGGACAGTTTTTTGATGCTTGGATGGATCAACAATCCTGGTTTGTTCACATACATACCAACCCTTTTTGTAGGTTGGATGGTGGCTTTATTAAAGACTTGTCTTTGTAGCTTAAAAGTAATGTTACTTAATCACTTCTATCCAACAAGGGAGTGGACCATGGCCCCTTGGAATCCATGTTTGTTGGAGTCGGGGCAATTCTTTGTCTGACTGTTGCAGTGAATAGTATCGACCTAAACATCAGGCGAACAATCTGGTTTTCATTGGTCAAATGCCATGCCCCGGTAGAACAATCGATGCTTTGTTAGCCAATATCCCCTTGAAACAAACAGTCGCCCCCCACGTCTCAGCTACTCCTGTAAAGCTTTGTAAAGCGCATAGGCCATGAGTTGATGGCTTCCTGCAACTTTCTCGACCAAGATACGTCTTGTCCGGCATGATCCAGGCACCTGAGGGGCGCGGATACTGGGCTGGGCTGCCAAGGTGATGTTCCTCTGACTCCAAAGCTACTGGCTGGATAGTAGGCCATTTTCAGCTAGTTGGCTAGGGCAAGAGCTCAGTTTGCGGATTCCAAACAGCTCGCTTGGCAGCAAAAACCACAGGCTGGGCCAGTGGGTCTCCCCGATCCCAAAATAGCTATGACTGTAGATTCCTTCCAAATAGCAATATTCTTAAAGCTTCCCCAACTCGCGATCGATCCGAACGTTCGCTCCTCAATGGTCCTTCCACGTACAAGTATCGGAGGATTTCTATGTCTATGTAAGAACAGACCCAAATGACAAAACGTGCGACCACCACACAGCACACCGGTGTAAGACGCGGTATGTACTCAACGGTGAATTATGAATTGGATGGCACATTCAAGCGTTCAAGACTCAAGACGAAGGAAGACGCTGGCGAATACTTTTTTCACACGTTGGTAATGTTTTATTACTGTTTTGTGAAAACAAAATCGGTGAATAAGGCGGATCGGATCACATGCTAGGAACCAAATGAATAGTTTCACCAAATCTAGGAACCAAATGAATAGTGCGTGAGCTATCCTGCGTCCATGTGTAGTAGCTTCCTATTGCTAGTAGTGAACTCGTCCCCTTCTTCATTAAGCAAGGAGGCAGGGCCACTGGCTAATAAAGGACATCGGTCGAACCGTCTGAGCTTGGAACCCCAATCTGTCGACTCACAACAGAGTCCGGGCACCAAACCTTGGAGACCGAGACCGGTGTCGAACCGGACAATGGATGGGGTGTCAGGTGGACTATTGAAAGCTCCAAAAGACCATAAAAGACCCATTGGTTGGGAGGTCCCCCCAAAAAAAATACGCACGAACCGGATGGTGCAAGGAGGATGCATGTCGATGTGAAAACTTCCAAGAGTGGAGTTCTCATGGGTGTGTATTTGAATAGGGAGACCCCCAAGCAATTGGCTTTGGTCTATTTTCCTTCTTCCCCGGGGTCCGTGGAAGGTCTCCCTAACACACGCCCATATATAATTGATTACAATTGCTTTGGTTGGACCACCACTTCTTTGGAGCGCCGGCAGATCAGTGCGAGCGCCCTTCAAGAGTTTTGGTCTTAGCTGGATTTCGACGCGGATGCTTATTGCTTTGACCATCTATATTTGCTACGGTTTTACCGTGAAAAGGATCTTGTACACATGGATTTGCGTCACATCACCGTGACATGCGGAACCACCATGCCGCATCTCACGGCCATTGGAGACGATGTTTCTTCAACGTCCTTGCTACACCCAAGTCGACTGATGGTCTTTTGGGGAGGATGCAACCCAGGGCAGCGGCCAGACCGTCAACATGTGCCCGCACCGTCAACATGTGAAAACACTCGTCTGAGGGACCTGTATGGGACATGATGGGACTGTGGTCGTTTCCAAGCTCTTTTGTTGAAACGAGCTGGTTGGTGAGTACCAACATATTCTTGGATTCTTGAACCTTAGCTACAAGCAAACATACGGAAAGCCAATGGGAACATGGCTTCACTAAAACCAAGTGTAGGTGAGGGATAAAGACTACCAAATTCACCCATCAATTGCCCATGAGGGCCGCTTCCCAAACAGAATCTGTGGCACGCTATTCGAACCACGCCCCATAAACAGACATCGGATTATGTCTGTAGACCAAACTTTGGTAGAATCTGGTGCCCCTGGTGCATATCTGCCAAAAGCCGTTGAAAACTAAACATCCATTAAGAATCCACTCCAGAATGGAAGATGCTCCCGCATCAACCATGGTCTGCACATCAAGATCTCTTACAAACGCCTATTGGAAAATCATCTGCTTCAAACAAACCCATCCGACTTAACCATGAACTTCACCGAGAGTCATCCCAGGACCCTTCGTCTGCCGTCTCTTGAGGTCTGTGACTGACATTTCAGACTCCACCGCAGTGCTGGTTCCATCGGTGTCAAATGCCCTTGAATTTCTCCCAGTGGCGTGACACCAACTCATCCACTGCCAAGACCTAGCGTCGCAGGGAAGAACAACCACCAGGAGGACCCTCCAAGGAAAGGTTCACGAAAAGGAACTGGTTAGGTGGTTTCAACTCGTTTCAACTCACTTAAAACATATTAATGACTATATTATAGGCGATAGGCGAAAAAGCATGGGTTCCGGGTCATTGCTTTCCCCGTCCAACATACTGGTTTTACCTGCCAATACCCGTTGTTGTTTCATTTGAGGTACGATCCTTTTAACATTAACAGTGTCGTTATTCCATCCTCCTCCAATGTGCAAGTCCCCTCAATGTTTTGGAGTCCACTATTGTTTCCGACCATCTGAATGTAACGTTCTTGTGCAAATGAAATTATCTCTATAATGTTCAAGATGCTTCATGCAGTTCACTTGAAGCCACGGATACATCAAATACAGAAAGGATTACTGTATGCCATTCACACACCAGGCTAAGGCTAGGATTGCACCAAAGTGCAAAGAACGTCAACACTTCAGTGGGCTTCTCAGTCACTCCCAAACCACAAGGTTTTCCCCCACACCTCAAGGACCCTGTAATACCAGGACCCTTTCTAGCGGGCTGTAGCGAGTGATAGATCAAGACCCCTAGGCAGCTACTTTGGGAAAATCCTTGGAATCCAAAGTCAGGCTGTCCTACAGATGGTGCAAAAATGCTCTTCACTCCTCCAAGTGCTTCCCCTCCTCCGATTCCCCCAGTTCCACGCCCTTGAACGTCCAGCTCCCTTGAACGTCCAGTCCGCCTCCTTTTTCCGTGGATCCTCTACCTAGAAGCTTTTAAGGGCCCAGACTCCCAGACCCCTACTATGATCTACTATGCAGAGGTCAACACCCTCCAGTTCGGAGGCTCCAAGGATGGTGAGGGAAACTCCTCGCCCATGTGCCCCTCAACTGCCATGCGAGAATTCGTGCGAGAACCTCGCCCGTCCGCCTTCGGCCGAACGCGCCTTGAGGTCAAACACGCCTTCCACCCGCCGAAAGAGCCGCTGGATCACGTGATCTCCCTCATCGGGCGATAACCTCGGATCGGTGGGTCGCTGGCGACCCTGGCGGAGGACTCTGGGAGGGCGACCGGGGATGGTTTGGGGTTTGGACCCAAAGTTGCCCAAAAAGCGCGACCGGGGACTCTGGATTGACTCAAGGTGGTTTGAGTGGTTTCGAAGTGACATGTCTTGGCCAAGCAGAATCGTGAAAGGAAGCTAAACTCCCTTCTTCGCATGTCTTTGCCAAGTTTCTCCTCATGAAACCAGGTAATACAGTAACACGAGCGCACCTTTTTGCCCTTGAAAACAGGGACACCCAAATCAAGCACCGAGCCCCTGCAAGAAATTCAGACACATCCCCCCTGACCAAGGGGGGCTGTCATGCCCTCACGATTGTACTGTGGGAAGGGAGCTTGTCATGCCCTCCGAACCCACCTGAAAGCCTTAAAATCCTTAAGACATATTAATAATTAGATAAAAAAATTGATAAAAGGGGTTTAGGGCCATATAAATGCCACAGGGATGAGACAGCTCAAAAAGAACCTCCAACAATCCCGGAGTTAAGCTTAACAACCAATGAATCAAGCAAGTCACCACTCAAGCCAAAGCTCTTCGGATTTCACAACATGGACCTACATTCACCCCCCTAAATTAACCACCCCAATGCCAATGTATGTATATAAGTATTGCATACAAAGAGTGTGTGGGGACTGGTATAGGACAACGATGTTTGATTAAGAGAATTTAGGGGCAGCGTAGAGTGTCAAACAAGTGCTTGCCAACCTATGGCCCGCTTCTGAATAATCTCAATTCTCCCAACAATCAGTCCAACTTTTGGATGGCCCATGATCATTGAGATCTAGCGGACATGCAAAGTCTATAATAGATATCATAAATGATACATTGCGTAAATATGCAGAAATGTCATCCTACATCATCCAGGCTTCTTCAAACTAAGAAGGCACCAAGGATCCGGCAAAATCTGGCTGCGGCGCTTCTTACACGACTGGCTTCTCCAAAAAAACCATGTATGGTCCAGTGGCTGATTTCCTGATAAATCTACAGCACCATCTTTGTCGCCAAACACAGTTTGCTGTTCACCTGCGCAAGCCAGTCATCCCAGGCTTCCTTGCGCCCGCGTAAAGAAGACCACAGTGCCGCCCTCACGCAAAAGCCAAAGCCTGAGACCGGAAGATCACCATGGAGGAAGTGGCCTAGGAAAAGAGTGGGGTTCTAGCTTGTGACCTGGTGACTGGTTCTTCAACTCACAAATTTTGAAGAGGAGTCCCACTCAGACTGACGAAGAGCAAAACAACATGAACCGATGAACCGTTCCCTGTACAATTTGGCCCCATCTTCCTATTGGAACGTGTTGATACGAGGGTGTCGGAGGTTTCCCATGGTTGCTCAGGCTAAGAAGGTTCCAAACACCATTGACACCAAAACACAGGAGAACGTTGTACACTCTGTCTCACTCACATGGAAGTGGAGTTCACCCCTAGAGGACAGTCATAGGTCATAATTATTCCCAAAGGCCATGCAATCCATGTGATCTGTTCGTCAGAGGGTATAGTTGTCAAGTGGTTTTGCGGTCCTCGTCCTTATCTTTACAGTTTTTGCTTAACAAAAATACAACATATTCCCCTACACCACCCACTCCCTTCCAAGACTGCTCGCCCCGAATTCGCTCAAACTCTCGCTGCTCTGTGGCGCGCTCTCGCTAGTCCCCCAGGCGCGTTGTGGAGCCATTTCAGTTGTCGCCTCGTTCGGATGCCCCAAATGTCGGACACAAACCTGAAAAACAATAGATGTAATCTTTTTGTGTTTAAACAATAACAAACGAATAGATAAACAACATAACATTTACTTTTATGATTTATGCATTAAAACAACACATAAAATTAATGTAACATATTGTATATATGATGTGGTGTGTTGTTCCTCGTCCTAATATCAAAACACCTTATACATTCTCATGCCACAAAGAGGAACTCTCATCGAACTTGCCTGCCGAGTTGTTATTTATGTTTCTTTGGGGGAATGTATCCGTTTGGAATGGTTTGAAAACAACAACAACAACAACAACAACAGCTACTACTACTGCTGCTGCTGCTGCTACTACTACTACTACAACTGCTACAGCTACAGTTTTGGCGGGCCCAATTCGGTTGTTTCTACCCAATTTGGGCGTGAAAAACCATGCTTCACCCCTCCCTCCAACAAACATGGAAGCGGACAACCCCGCTGTTTTTAAAAAGATATTCCCAGAACCATTTTCGGGTATATATTTCTGATTGTATTGAGAATGTGCTCAGCAATCCACTTGACCACAGAATCTCAGAACCGAGATCAAGGCTCGCCGCTGACCTGCCAAACCGGGCTCGAGCGCACAGCGCACAGCTTCGGCAACACCGACGGTTTCCGTGGACCGCCATGTTTTTTTTTTGGAGCACTCGAAGCGTTTCTATGTTTTTTGGAGTGGAGGTTCTTCATGGTTCCCCATGAATGACCTGGCTTGAGCCGGCAGCACAGGCTCATTTGGTCTGGGGTACAGGGTCCTTGCATGGGGACCAATTGGGGGAACAAAAGTGGATCTCCCATGGCCCCTGGCAGAGACTGGCTCAAAACTGATCGCTGGTACGGAAAATGTATCGTTTCATATCGTTTCTAGCTTCACGGCCCTAAAGCCAAGCACCCACTTAAAATCAATGAACTTCAAGTCCCAAGAGCTCCACAGCACTGGCACAACGCAATGGGTGTGACCACCTGGATGAGCAAAACTAGAAGTACCGGCAGCTTTGATCTATTTGGAAGAATTTGCGGAACACCTGGAGCCACTGAAGCGACACCGTCAGTGGTTCTTCCGCTCTTCCCTCTCCCCAGACTAATTATATAACTGGTTCCACGTGTGTTTTCATTAACATCAACACACCCAGCCGGGCACCTTGGGCATGGAGGGTGACCATCTCGTAAGTCCTCCTGCAGCACCTCTCAGCAAAGCTTTGTCATCGGTGCCTGACATCCGCGCAGTTGTCCAGTGTCGACGCAGCGTCAGCTGAGATTCCAGAGTTTGGGAGGCCCAAGCTGCAGGTCAGCTTGACCTCATTTGACTCGAGTTGGTCTACAATCACTCTACTTTGAGTGATCCACACCATGACATGTCAATCACTTGTCTTCATCCCATGGTGAGGAGCATGTTGCCAGGGTCGTGAATTTTGTGGTTCTCGACTTTGTTTGTGGGACTCGGTTGTGTGCTGTGATTGTGGTTGTGTGCTGTGGTTGTGTGTTGTGGTTGTGTGCTGTGGTTGTGTGCTGTACGTGTGTCTTGGTGGTTGTGTGTTTGTGGCCGTGCTTGTGATTGGCTCGCGGTTCAGGACGACGCGGAGGACGAGAAGGACGAGGAAGAGCAGGAGGAGGAGGGCACGAGCTGACATAAATCTAACAACCCTCACCTGACAGTTGGGGAAAACACTACTCAATGAGGTAAAGTACCTGGCTTTACGGGGTCTTTGGACCTGAAGGACAAAAACATGTTGAACAAGCTTCGGCCCGGCAGGATTTGAGGCTTTGAAAACTTGGATTGGGACGCTGATTGATTGGGAGTCGATTGGCAGTGGATATTGAACCAGAAATACCACGTTGCCACTTACCACTCACGACCACAGTCAACCAACTCTGGATCCTTCGGCGTAAAAGTGGAACATCTTCGGGAGTTCGGTTCGGAACAAAGGTCTGAACTAACAGTTTCTATATAATATGTTTCTATATATACATGTTTCGTCATGTTTCTTCCCCACGCCCCACTAGGTCAAAGACCAGCTGCTAAGGCAAGTCAATGTCTTTGGGAGCTCAAGTGCCATAGTTCTTGGTGGTTTCAAGCGGTGGACGGCAATTTATCGGGATTCCAAGGACTAAAGTAAACTAATTAGTTGGATTAGCATGACGGACTGCACAGTAGTCGTACTTGTATTGATCGACCATGCCAGCAATTGATCCAATTGATCAACCGTTGGAATGGTTGGGGTGAGGGTCTTGTGATTAGGCCAAGTTGCAAAATCACTCACCTCAGCACCTCATGACTCATGTCCGTAGCAACCATATATATAATATATGTTGAACAATAGAATCGTTGTCAAACATGCGAACACAGAACACCTCAATGTTTGCAGGGCAGCTTAAGTGAAACAAGATTGCAAAGGGCCCATCAAGCTCTGAAAGCATCAACTGGCTATAGCAAGGCAAGGAACAAATGGCCCTGGCTGCTGGCACTAGTCTGTATAACACAAACTCCACAAAAATTACAAGCCACAGAGTGGCACGGAGTCGGGGTGGTGTTCCCCGACCTCAATAGTCCGACAGTCCAGAGCGGGGGCTGGGCCGCCGAGACAGGCTTTCAGGAAGCGGCTTAGAGTTGGAGTGGATCAACAACCGCATGCGGAGCTCAACTCCACAACGGACGGTGCAGATCGGATATCAGAAAAGCCCTGCAGCTCGGCCATGCTTGGCGTCCGCACACGGAGGGCCAAGCAAGATCTTGTCGTAGGGGCCAAGCCTTGCCGCGCCGTGACTTTGTGCCAAGCCGTCTTCGAACGTGACTTGTGATTTCTCTGCACAACATAGAACTCACACAAGACGTTACTGTGAGCGCCGCCCGGCCAAGCACAAAAAAGAACGCAAGAAGATATGCAAGAAGCTTGTACGTAGGAGCTCTGAAGGGGTCCATCCAACTCAAGAGCTCTGAAGAGATCCATCCAGCCTCTCTGCTGCATTGGATGGCGTCGCCATGTCCACTGAAGTGAACACCTCTAGGGTCGACAGTCGACCGCTGTGTGTGTTTTTTTCCCGTACCGAATGGCCGACTGCCAAACCCAGGGACATGATCCACCAAATGGTCCTAAAACCGCGACGAGCAACATTGAGCACCGTGATGTGTGACATGCCCTGGGACCGGCTGAGACGCTTAGTTCGCTTCAACAGCGGTGGAGCCTTTGAGGGGTCCCTTTGGGCGCCTTCCAATGCTGGATTGCTGACCCCCGAGCCGTTTCCCATCAAAATCAAAGGTGAACTGAACTTTTCACCTGTTGGATTCAAGTGGGATGTCTCCAAAGCCCCCGAAAAGATGACCTGGAGGTGATCCACTTTGTCCTAACTAACGTTTTTCTAGCGACACCACGGCGTCCGCCTCGAAAGAAAAGGAGCCAATGATCCGAGCCCCAGCAGCAAATGTGTAGAGTATGGTGTTGGTGGGTGATTGATTGTGATTCACAGCTGATTTGGCGTCGATGGGTCCACCCAAGCGGCGGTCCCTTCACTCGGAGGTTCCGCACCACGCGAGGACCGTGGCCCGCCAAACTGGCCTCAAAAGGGGGCGCGGCGTGCGTTTCAAGCCTCCTGGAGACATTGGATGAATCATTCCATTATTTCAGGTAACGGGGACACTGACATGAAAGAAATTAGACCTAGAATGAAGTGTCTTCACCAAATAATGTCCTAGTTTGATTGACTTGAAATGAAGGGATCCCAGTTGGAATATATAGACTCTAGACCATTGCAAACCCAGGTGCTAAGGCATTGTACTAAATACTTCAGGGTTTCCGGGCAGCTGTTGCATAGCACGACAAAGTGCCTCGTGGCCTGTGTAGGTCCAATATGGTCCCATCACCCATCCTACATCGCAAACAGTTTTATTTCCTTTGGGCTGCTTTGGATAGGATTTCGCTATGGCCACGCCGGCCACGCATCAAAATCCAAACCTTAAATTCTCATGCTTTTGGGCACCCTTCGACTGTTTCACCCAGTAGTGGATGATGATGGTTGCTAAATGCCAACACTCAAACAGCGGCAAATTATGCAAATGATGCTAATTAATGTCACCATAGACTCTAAACTTTGTGAGCAGCGCAGGAACACATTCCATGTCCCATGTTCTCATCAACTTCTTCTGGGGAACACATTCCAGCACCGACAGGAACAGCCGGAGAAGTGTTTTGACAAACGGTCTTCGGTCAGCCCGGAGTCTGTATTTCATTGGATCCTCCCAGGTTCCGAACCTGTGGATCCAAAAGCCGCCATGGAAGCAGGGACTGCCTCAGGCTGTTGCACTGCGCACTGCACAGCGCGCTGCGCTACAGCAGGCGTGAAACGCGAGTGTTTTGAAATATTTCCTCTCTTTTTTGTTAGGGGTGTGTTCATGTTTCTTTCCATGCGTGTCAACCGCCAAATCTCCAAACTGTTGCATGCCTCAAGAATCTTATCCCTGCAGGTCAGTTTAACCTCATTTGACTGGAGTTGATCATACAAAAACACTACTCAAAGAGGTAAAGGACCAGTGTTTTTAAATTGGGTCTTGGGGCCTGTAGGGTATTACTTATTACATAATCTATTTTTGAACTTGAGAAAGCTCTCGAAAGAAGGTGAACTCCTTCATACAGTTTGAAAGCCAAGGGCCAAAAAGTCCTATCATCCTGTTTGCCAGCAACATGCCCATTTGGTTCGAACACCTATCGACTGAGAACTGAAATCTAGGAGCTGCTTAGAAGATACTAAGATTCTTTGGCAATGCGTTTCAATCTTTGTCCAGCAAATATCTTTGGTCCCACTACCAGCTTTGGCATGGTCGGATCCTCTTGGTGTTTCTCATGAGTTTCTGGACCCTACTAGACGCCCCAGCACTGTGAAAGAAAGAGGTGTTTTCTGCCATAGATTGTTTGACCTGCGAAGACCCGTTGGTTTTCATGCGTTTGCTCTCGAGCTTTGAGAACCCCAGGGCCCCAGCAGCGTCTGCTGCAAATGGCTGGCTTTCGCTTTCACCATCTGACAGCCAAGAGGTTAAAAAGGAAACGAAATGGGAGATTCGGCCATTGAATGAAGTCAAAACCTTAAGTTCCCTTAAACATCTATATATAGAAACCAAATCATTAGTACGAGCGCTTCTTCAAGGAAGGGGGAGCTTCCTCGAAGAAGTGCGAGCTATCCTGCGTCCATATGTATAGTAGCGTCCTGTACCTACTAGCTAGCTACCTCAATTCCTGACTTAATTAAGTAGGTGCCTACGGGAGAGGGCCAAAAACCGATTCATCATCGTAACATATCGGAACCGTATAGGTGAAACATGGTGAAACATCTCCACATTCACAGTGTTCATTGTGAGGAATCGTCAGGGCTGTACTGGGAGACTTGACTGGGATGTTCCAGGTAGACTGGCCAACTGGTCCAAGATGTTGACCCGACATGGCCACACTGAAGAACGACGTGACAAGCCTGTTCGAAGCGTTTACTGCTTTTTTTGGGGGGTACCTGCATAGACGGATCGTGGATAACACGCAACCCTCTTGAACAAAATGGTGGTTGTTCAGTACATGCAGAAAATCAACAAATGCCGTGCACAGGTGTGGGAAGCCTGCAGCGATTCAAACCCAAGACGACCATGGTAGACCTGGCATTGAAGTTGCCCAGGCGTTTCTTTTTAAAGTTGTTGTCTTCCTCTTCTGCCAAAATAGTCAGAACATCTATTAGTCATCTGGTCGGTAACGATGACTTCCATGTTTTGCGGCCCTGGCTGCGGAATACAGTAACTCCTTGGGGTTGGGGGATGCTTGGATGCACCTTAAAGCCTCATAGCTATGACTCTCGAAGCAGCTAGCTAACTGACCCCGTCAGTTTCCCTCAAACATAGAGGTCAACCTTTTTGCACCTGTTGCACCATCCGAGCAATCTACACTTGAGATTGCAGACCCTGAACACTCTGGATCAAGGATCATTTGAGTGGAGTGTCCACCTAATCCTCCCCACAAGAAGTTGCCCTGCAGGTGATCGGAGCGGCAGCTCCACTTCGGGCAGCTCCAGCTCTGCGTTCTCTCGATGCCCGAGCGCTCCCACCGAGCCACCCCGCTTCGTTGCAGACCAGGCGGCCTTGCAAATCCTGGGGCCTGCAAAACATTGCAGCGAACCGTTTTCTGCAATGTCTGGGCGCCTAAAATCTGAACAAAAACAACTCATCAATGTGGCAGCATCCACGTTAAGTCTAGGCTGCGCAGTTGCTGCAGGGATCGAAAGATCTTTCGATCCCCCTATATTCCTCTAAAGTTGCGAAGCCAACTGAAGCTCTGGCATTGGTGTGGTCTAGTTCGAGCAATCATGAGCAGATTTGACTGAGCTCTCGGCAATGCTTGTCCGCGTTGGCAACGCTGGAAGATGGCACCGGCCAGGACCAGCCTCGGCCGCTGGTCCAAGCTGCTCGGTGGTTCCAGACTGTTTTTGTTCAGGCCCAGTAACCCAGTTGCATCGCAGCTGAATTGGACAACTGGGTGCATCATTTACCCTTCAAGTATCGTTTAACACGCTGTCATGGGTTGATTGTTGATTCCCATGGATGAATGGAACCACTCTGACACTGGCTCCGCCACATGTCCGGGTGTGCCTGTCTGCCAAACAACGATCCCTTTCCCAATCCGACCATGTTTGGGCTGATGGTTCTTCTGGCTTTCTTAAGGAAGTTGCTCCTCCTATCTGTGCCTGGAACCTTGATCAACGACTCGAGGTGGCACCAAGATGCCAAGACTGACAGGATGTCTCACTCAAAAAACGCTATCCTGGATCCTTTCTGCCGCTGGCACCTATGGAAATGTCATGAAATGTCGAGTATTTTCTGTGGGGAGGGGCCCGCACTTTTGTACTACTATGGTATAGAAGGATTATAAACTCTCTTTCTGGTCTTCCCTGAGGAAAAGTTTCTCCGATTGCAGGCCCTGGACCCTTTTTGGGAAAGCCATCACAATACCATCACACCCCAAAAAGGTAGCCAATTTACTGCCCCCATCCTGGAAGTGGCCCACCACATCCCACCACATCCTGGAAGTGGCCCATCCTGGAAGTGGCATGATGTGGCAGTTTCTGCCCACCACATCCCACCTCCACCGACGTCACTGCACCATCTTCACCCAGCTGCGAGGTCACCCCGGTCGCACAGGCGTCCAGGACACTGTCGCCTTCCTACGGCGTTGCGGATTTGCCCCGGTGAAAACGAGCAGGATGGGTCCGACTTCACTCCAGGGTGGGAGAATGTCCGGAGAATGTCCAAATGCTTTTCAGGATGTTTTTCGAACGATTCACCTCTTAGTTTAGTGATGTGTCATGAAGTGTCCCCCAAAGGTGATCCACTTGTCCTGGATGCCAATTCTCACCACTTCCGCCGTGTTCCGGTGCGTTCGCCCCCGCCCAACGCCGTGCAGATTTCACCTCCACCTGCAAGGCTGAAGCCACCACCAGCGAAGAGCCCTGCGAATCGAATCGAGCTCTTGTCTGGGAAAAAGTGGCAAATCAGTGAACCCCAGGATGACGAAGTGGCCGTCTTATCTGTCTTCGGCTTTACAAAATCACATGAGAACAAAGTGAAGACAAGGTTTGAGGATGTTTAAGGTGAACGGGTGCCCTGGTTGCTCTTCCCATATATATGTTTTTTGGACAGGTGCACAAAACGATCCCTGGTGTCGGTGTTACTTTCGGTTGACCTATATACTTCTGAATCTGACGCCTTGAGCTCAGCCCAGGTTCCAGGATACAGGTTGTGGTCTTGAAAGAAGGGTCCAGGTGAGTCTGGGCTGCACTTGTCGTGTTTCTTGCCTTTTTCAGGGTTTAGAGATCATAAGTGTCTCCACCCAAATCCAAACATTGGAACTGAAAGTCTTTCCTGAAAAGTCTGATACGTAGGGTCAGAGGCAGCAAATCACTCCTGAAAAACCGTTCCCATCCGACCACAAAACGGTCATAAAATTGTCCTGCCTCAGCCAATGTGAAGGGTGCCAGCTCTTCACCCGGACCCCGGAGCTCCAACTGGCCCGCAGAAATGGGGAGAGCCAAGCTTCCAGGCTTCGATTTTGCCGGTTCTGGAAGGACATAGGTGGATGTGTTGTTCCCAGCAAATGACTTTCCTGGTGGATCGTCACATATACGTGCGTTGAATAAGTCTATCAGTCTAACTCTTTTGTTTCTCATTTGCAGGTAAGGCTTTTGAGTTGTCGTTCTCTTGTAGTAGAACGTCACAGCAGCAGAACTGCCAGTTCGTTGGCTCCAGCAACTCTTTGTGATTGTCATTGATTTTCTGTGGCATGGACAGAAAAGAGCTCCATGTCCATGTGCGTATGAAAACTGTTCCTACATCGGGGCGATTGCTGGGGTAAGGCAAAAAGAATACATGGCGTGTCTGGGACACACACACGTGATCTAATCTCACCATGAACCACCAAAGACCTACAGTATGCATCGTCGATCTTTCAGGATGGTAGAACCATGTAGAACCCTCCGGTCGACCAGTTTCGATGGGGTCTCGGGGCCAATCGCCTCCGATTTTTACTCACAACACCATGGAGCGTTGCCAGTGCTTCAACCGAGCTGGGTCCCTTTCACGCCGTCTGGCCATACTACATGGAGAATCCCGTCTGGGGTTGGTCTCGGACTTCATGTTGATCAGTGATACCATGAATGGTCAAAGGAACTGTTCCCGATGTCGCACAAAGCACTTTGGAGTTTGAGCAACTATATTACGACATTTTACATCATATTACTAATTATTAGGTGACGCCTATGTGTCCTAGTGACCCTGCAACGAAAACCTGCCGAAACGGCTTTGGTCGTGAAAATTGTTGCTCTTCCAAATAAGGTCTCTTCAGTCTCCGGTCTGGGGGTCTCCCATGGTCTCCTTATTCTGATACATGGGCGGAGGCCATTGCTACTAGGTTGGAGGCCATCGCTACGAACGGCATAATTGACACATTCCATACCGATGTTCCATCCACTTCGTCGATCGCTCCGGGAGAGAAGCCGCCCCCGGGAAGGAAGCCGCGCCTCATGCCGCTCCTCACCTCGGTCGACAGAGATCCCATGTGAACCGACGATCCCGAAATCGAAATAACCAACTCCCTACAGGTCCTGTCTGACGCAAAACCTAGCACAGCAGTGTTCTTTTTTATGACCAACTCCAGTAAAATGAGGTCTTTCATCCGTAGGGAAGCATTCAAGCAAGTCTTTCAAGCTCTCAACAGGCTGTGCTAGGCTGTGCCTCCGCGATCTATCACCAAGGAAGTGCAGCTGCGCAAAGTAACATGCTTTGTCAAACCAGCAAGCAGCTGGCTACGGTCCACAGCACGGTTTGGCTTGTTTAAGCAGCATCGAACCACCTTTATCAACACTACTGCTACTACACTTCCTTGCAACTGTTTTGCGCATGACTGCAGCAAACTTAGCAAACTGATGCCTTCTTCAGGGTGTGGGAGGCTCAACTGTGGGGGGGGAACTCGTGCGACCACACAGGAGTAGAAGAACCACTGAACCACATCCCAGTAAATTGATATGGTCGGACATCAACGGAACTATAGAATTAGCCCGGCCCTGCATAGGCTTAGGGCACCTGCCAAAACCTAGTGAAAAGGTCTGCCTGCTTCACAAAAAGACTCACTGAGCCAAAGAGTTGTCCCTGAAAATACAACTGGGGCAACTGAACGGTTTCCATTGCTTTCATTGAACAAAAAGAATCCACCATCTTCGATCTCCATGATTCATCTCGCCATTTTTGGCTGACCTTTTCAGGATGCTAACATAGGCCTGTGAATCAAGGGTTCAACCTACCCCGAAAACACCGCGAACCATGAAAGGAACAAATAATTTTGAATGTTGTTTAAGAGTTCAAGATATTTCAAGATCAAACCTGCAAATGTCCTTCTGCAATCTCCTGGACAAGTCTTACGCTCCCATCATCAAATGGCCCTTGGAAAATGTACCAAATGGCCCACCCCACATTGTCCAGTTCGGGAGCCCCGGCGATACAGATGGACGAATAAGTGCCGTTCATCGCTGGCGTCCACAATGGGGAACCTCTGACGGGACAAAAACGAAGCGTTTCCCGACGCATTGATTTAAGCAACAATGGTTCCTGTTCCTCTGCAACAATAGTTATCGGACATGTAGGAGTAGTAGTAGGAGTGGTACTGGTGAAGGTAGAAGTAGAAGCAAGCAGCAGCAGCAGCAGCAGCAGCTGCTCCTGCTGCTGCTACTGCTGCAGGAGTGATAGGAGTAGGAGTAGTAGAAGTAGTAGTAGCAGTAGCAGTAGCAGTAGCAGCAGTAGTAGCAGTAGTAGTAGTAGTAGTAGTAGTATTATAGCGTAGTATAGTAGTAGTATTATAGTAGTAGAGTAGTAGGAGTAGGAGTAGGAGGAGTAGGAGGAGTAGTAGTAGTAGTAGCAGGAGTAGTTGTAGTAGTAGCAGGAGTAGCAGGAGTAGCAGGAGTAGTCGTACTAGTTGTTGTTATTATTTATTTGTGCTTGCTTGGCGTTTAGTTTGTCCGTGTTGTTGTGTAAAATAGTCTTACCATTCCATGTTGTAACTAGTTGACTGCTTTGCTGCGCCAGAACAACATCCAATAAAAACCCTCCAGTGGAGCTGCCTGCTTTGAGCAACTTGGTCTGAGCAATTTGGTGGCTTTGTGTGTGTGCGTGTGCGTTGCTTTTACAGGGGGTATGGCCAAGACTTCAGTCCAATTTTTAACACGGCGCTGGGACGATAGCTTTGGCAGCTTTGATGTCTTAGGGAAAGTATTTGCACTAACAACTACAAACGTACCCAGCTTCAGGTCATCACGTTTGACAATTGCACGCACGGGGAGACTACAAGTGCACGCACTTCTGGACACCGTTCTCACAGCTATCTCCGCTTGGCTCGGCAGCTCCATCCCCAAACATCGACCGTCGGAATCGGCCAGGCGCCTTCGCGGCACATCGCTGGGGAGTTCGAAGTGGAAGGCACCAGGGATGCAGGTCACTTCAAGGTCTTGGTTTCAGCGAGATCGACGCCAGACGGGAGGAGGAGAGGAGAATAGGAGGTGAAGATACCACTGCATGAGGAATTGATGCTATGATGTGTTGGTCTTTTTCAAGGAGCCCTGAGATTGGTGTAGAAGGAGGCCAAGAAAACGTGAACAGGACTCAGGACACCACGAAAAGTATTGATGAAACAGTTCTCCCCAGCCTGGAATCACACGGCCTGGAATCCACTACAGAAAAGCCGCGAAGCAAATCGCATGCCTCCATCGACTAGCTCGGAGTTGCAACATGTTGCAACTACACAGTAGGAACATGAATACATTGAAACACCAACTTTGCCCCCACCAGTCGGTCGGATAACAAATCAACAAACCGAGATGATCCCTTCCAATGGATCGATATGGATCTTTATGGATCGATGGATCCGAGGGATCATCCAAGATCCTTGGAGTGGGAGGCAACAGGAGTGAAGTGGGAGGGTCAGCCCCTTCGTGGAAGAAAAAGAGTGGCAGCAAATCTGTCCGGCTTTTGTACAGTCAAAGTCTTACCATCTTGTCTCTTAATAGTCCAGTTTTCTGAATAGTACAAGGATGCCCCACACAAAACTGGTGCCCGCGCCGGTCGCTTCGCAAGGGATCGTGGGAGGGTGTGAGTGTGGGGATGTGCAGGCTCACGTGGGGTTGACATTTCTTTGTTGGCGCCAAATACAAGGGGAACTCCATGAAATCATGTGGTTTGGAACCGAGAAAGAACAAAAAAAACACATGTCACATGTGCCAGCCGGCTGGATTGAGCACCGCATCTCAGCACCTCACTGTAGTCTCGAGAGATGACTTCTTGTTCATCTGCAGGCAGAAAGGGGTTCAAGAAGCAGAGGTGCTCGCTGTCCTCGGCCCATCATGGCCCTTCCTTCAAGCCCATTGATCAAGCGAGGAATGAAGGTGCAGCGGTGGTGAAACGGTGGAAACATGCTGGGTAGGATAAACACTATGTCAGTATATGTATGTATATGTCAGTCATACCTCCCCAAAACTTTGAAGGTGAGGAGGGGTGGTAAAGAAAGCGAGCGAGGAGACATGATCACAAACCCAGATAGCCCAAGCGTTGCAAAGAACACCTGCCAGATTGGACGCTGGTGCCCTCACCCTCAGGGCCGCCTATGTCTTCTTGAGAGGAACTTGTTTTAATTTGTGAAATCCTGCTCTTTTCAAGTCCGACCCCAGATTAAGTTAGCTTGGACATGGTATCGAGAGCATAACACCTTGGAAAACGGTCTTTCTACTGACTGGACTGATGAAAAATGGGCCGATGGTTTTTGGCCCGCGAGTCGTCTAAAGTCATCGAGTCATTAATCATCCATGCCAGTTTGCGCAAGGATGAAGCTGATGTCGATAAAACATGCAGCTATGTGTCAGAGTGAACTGTTCGTTTTGTTGTGGCAATATGTGGCAATCATCTACACGCCCTGAAATAATCATGGAAGTGGATGACGTGGCTGCTTGGAGTACCACTTTCCACCATCCACTTCCATGATAATTTATGATAATTTAAGGGGTGTTGCTGCCAGTGTTTTCCACCTTGCATGACTGGATCTGCAGACCAAAGGTGCGTCATGCTGCGCTGCCAAGCTGCTTTCCATCTGCAAAACATCATTTGTGGGCTCCGTTGATGCCACAAAACATACCAAGACCACCAAAAATGCAGTGGTTCACCAAGAACCTGATAGAACTTGGACTTTGCAGCCATTTGCAGCCAATCAGTGCCCTGCGACATCAGAGACAGGAACGAAACAAAACATGTCCTAGAACATGTCCTCGACACCGTCAAACAAAGGCAAAACACATCTCCCACTTGAATCTCGAACTACCGAAGAACCGTTGTTGAATCCGACGGTTCGACCCTGAGTCCTGCAGGGATTCGGGATGGCTGGAGGTTTGGAAAACCGACTGCGGGTGCAAAATCCATGCCCAAACAATCCATGCATGAAATGGACTAGCTGCATACTATATACAGTAATTGGGGTGGTTTAAAGATGTTTTAAGAGTCAATGTAGGTCAGTACTCCAATCTATTCCAATCCCATGGAGTGTCTGGGGATCCTTTCACCATGGAGTGTGGAGGCACTTCACCATGTGTCTTCACCCCCAAAACCCATGGAGCGCTCCAAAGCGGGTCGCTATTCAACTGCACCGAGCGATTCGACAGCTGGGTCAGCGTGTTACACGTTGAACTGATCTTTAGATTTGTCCAGGAACTGGGAAACACTATAGGACATGTTCCCATGTTAAGCAAAACCAGGGATCGGAGCCCAAACATACATGGAAAAAGAACGAACAACAAGTACCAAAAGAAACAACATCTTTGTGGTGTTCTCAGCATCTCTTCCACCGAAACACCGAAAGACTTCGTTCTCTCTCCCCAAAACCCACCAGGCCCCGGCCAATCCAGTTCGCGTTCGTTCGCTCTGGGATCCCCCGGACCCGTTCCAGCGCTGGGAGCAGCTCGGAACTCCAACGCTCCTCTCCAAAGCGCCCCTCATGAAGGGCATGCCAACCTGACGACCAACTCGGTCGACTCGTCCCTCACGCGACACCGGCCACTCGGTCGGGTGATTTCTCACCAGCTCCGCACGGATTGGTCAGGAAGTCTCGGTCGAGCTTGGCTGGCTGGGTTGAGGTCGAGCTTGGCAAAGGGTGAGAAAAAGGTGTTTCACCCAGAAGCCGCCTGAGTACCTGAACCGCCCCTCCGAATGAAACCACTGGCCTATCATGTAACTGTACGATATAATGTTATTATTAGTGTATATTGTTTGATAAAACAAATTAAGAATACGCATGAATACGCGCTATATATAATGATAATGTTCCAAACCTACAGTTCTGACGCCATACAGTAGGTTTCGGTTTTGGTCACACTTGAAGTCCTGCCCCGGTCTTTGTCTGGTCCTGCCATTTAAATTTAGGTATGGTGGTCTCTCTGTTCCAGGATGCCAGTGATAAGTGATAACAGTATATAGTAGTACTAGTGATTAAGTAGGAAAACAGGGTGTTCATGCTGTTCATTTCTGAGACGTCCCTGTTGGTGCCACCATTTGTCCTGCCACCCAGTTGCCCCCTGCTGTTGGCGCCATGACTCAAGGAACATCAGGAATGATGTGTCTGTTGGGGCATAAATTGAGGAGGCTAATGTTAATGTAGCTTCAAATCATGCAATCCATTGGACATCCATTGTTGAAAAACATGCTGGGTTCGTCTAACCCATGTGTTCCATCCGATTTACCTGTTGGGAACGTCAATCTGGAGTCTTTGGATTCTATGTTGCGGACACCTGAAAGCAGTTCCGAGGACAGAAGTTCATCTTCTCATTGGTCGTGAATCACCAAGCATTTGATTCTGATTCTTATCTGAAGCCAAATGGAAGAGAAGCTCCAACGGCGACGCACTGTCTAAAGAAGGCTCGCCTGATTGAGGTTTTCAGACATGAGGCTCACAGCTTCCAGCAGAATCACTTTTAGACTGAAGTGCTTCAACGATCGTCAAATTTTTCTCAAAAACCAAAGTCTCAAATCATGGGAGCAATATTTGTGGATAGCTCTTGCACAACGCAAGAGGAAGCAAAAGGATTGAACAAATGAAACAAACTAGTGAAACTAGTGAACATGATGGGCCTGTACTAATAGGATCTAATAGGATGATCCCCATCCAATCGGTTTTGGTTTATGTCCTTCCAGGACTGCTTTGAGGGGGCTGTGACCTGGGAGGTCTCCTAGTTGAGCTACACACAAAATCTTAGCAAAGCATCACCAGCTCGTTCTTGGATCCTACAGACCTTGAGCATGTCCAATTTCAGACGTTTCAGGCCAGAACAAAGAAGAAGCACCAATATATCATGAACTATATACACAGTAGTCCGTACATGTTAATGGGACAACTCCATCTTTTTGGGCAACTCCGCTTTTGGTCGCTGGATGTTGACGGTTGGACGCTTTCTAGGCACTCCCAGCGTCCACGGGAGATGTGGCGAATTCATCAGCCTGGTACACCTTTGCTGAGGCCACGATCTTCTCCAGTGTTGAAATCATGCATATTGTTATATACATATGTGTTTTATTTGTCTTTCAAGTGTTGTTTTTTTTTCTAGCCTGGCTTGTGGAATCTCGACTTTCAGTAGCTGGAAACCAACTAAAACCGTGTCAAACATATCACAGGCCAAGATTAAAGGACACATAGGCTGACATGGCCTGACAGTGAGGGAATTAGTATGTCTATCATTTTGCATGAAGGAAACATGTTCTACATGTTTGTTTTCATAATGTTTGGTGACAAAACTCCCGATCTTGGGAGGTGTGAAGAAGATCAATGACCTCAAAACGGTTTCTGGGCAGCATCTTTGTTCTGCCTCAAACATGCAGCCTTTACACATGCATGGCCCCCATGGATCATTTGGCCAGGCGATCTCCAAATACACGTTGGTGTTGCAGCTTTTGCACACCATGTCCTTTGAAAATTAGCTCTGCAAACCGCAGGAGGAAGAACAATTCATTATTGACTGTTGATCTGCTTTGTTTCTGTCCGGCTCATGACTCACTTCAGAACCCAATGTTTGTCCAAAGAGAAAGAATCAGGTCCGCTGATAAGTCAAAAGGAAACTGTTCAAAGAGCTCTCAAACTCTTCGAAAGTGTCAAGCACTGTAGTGCCAAGTTCTATGACTCTTCGAGCCGCTTTGCACCACAAAACACTTCTTTGCACCTACATTGTACATGGCCCGCTTGTTGGCCTGCAGCTTTACAACAAAAGTGCACCCAGGTGCGGCTTGAGGATCGTCAAAGTCAAAGAACAGGATCGAAAACCCGAAAACCCTCTGGTGCATCTCACTTGAGCAAGGATCCCTGCAAACCTCAAACAATCTCTCATGACTCCTGACCATCATTTTGGGTGGTACTACCACGCCGCTGTTGAGTTTGTGATCAAACTGAGGACCTGCTGGAAAGGACCTTTTGTTCTCCACATCTCTTCCACAACATCTAGCTGTTGGTCATTGGACCGAAGAAAGCCCCAGCAAAACACCACCTTTAGAAGCGATCCTCAAAACAGGTGATATAAAGGTTATCCACTGACTGGGTCCACGATCCGCTTGAAGGACAGTGGTTTGGCTATGAGATTCAACCAGTATATCGTGGGCACCCATTCACTGAGGGGCACTCTGACCGTAAAGAACAGATCAAAAGCGTCCCACGACAACATGCCGACATGGAACTCCTGGCCAAAGAATGTCACATATGGCATGATGTTGAATTACGCAATTCATCACAATTCCATGACGATCCAGCTCCCTGAGTTCTCTGTTCTCCTCTCTTCGACTCCAAAAGGCCTCTCACAGGATATCAGTGTCAGAGTCGAAGCTGTGGTCCATGCTATTCGACTCGCTGGAAGATGGCAGGTACGATGACGTCTTCGACTGTTTTCTCCTTCGCTCGCCGTGGGATTGCTCTCGCCAACGGTGGGCGCTCCGCGCCGGCGGGTGTTGGGAACCGATCCTATGGGTTCAAACGACAGCTGAGATGTGGAGAACAAAACCTGAGATAAGACGTGTGGTGCAACTGCATGGACAATCCATGGACGTCCATGTTTTGTTCATGTTGTTTGTATCCATCCAGGAAATAACGGAAGACACGATCGCTAAACAGTATACGTATGAGAGAAGCCTATGGATAAAACCTCTCTATATATATTGTACATTTATAGTGGGTTGAGAGTAAATGGCACAATCCCCAAGAGGAGGTTTATATGGACCCCACTAGAAAAGACATATTGAAGGTTGTGCGATCTACTCTGAAACCACTGCAGAAGAGTGTTGGATAACTGGGGGACGTCTTGGAAGTGATGCCCAGGATCTTACACTACCTGAAATCATCGTGGAAGTGGATTTCACCAAGGAAAATGGACAATTATCCACTTCCACTTCCATGATAATGATTAATTGTTTCAGAAGTGATCCCTGAACTCAAAGATGCTTCACCACCTGGGAATTGTAATGATTCCGCTTTTCAACCCTTTTTTCCAATGTCTCTGCTGGCTCCACTCGGATGTCATACCATTCTGCCACGAAAGAGGCTTCTCAAAAACGCTCTTTGGATGTCCGCCCATCGATCCTTTCAGGACCGGCCTTGTTTTACACATGACTCATGACTCAGGGATACTCAGGGCATGTGTTCAGGTGTGGAATGTCCCATCCATGTCGGTGTAAACATTCCCCAAGTGTCCCATCCATCAAAGTGGACGTGACGCGTCGAAGTCGGCACAAGACCTCGTCCTCGGTGGATGCAAACCCGGTGGCACGACGACATCGACTGGTGGACACGGAATGCATAGATGACCGCCAAGCCGAAACACAAGGGATCGGCGGTCCGGTCGGTGACGGTACAAAATGGTAGTGATGTGGGAAACCGAGCAAAACAAGCCATATAGATCCATATAACATCATGTAACTACCATTAACTACCATTTTCTCGTAGAACATGGAGAACATGCAAAACACGCTGGCAAATTTCTTGTTCTTCCATGCTCTCTCTCTCTCTCTCTCAGAAAGACTCTCAGTCGCGTACGATCTTCGACACGCCTTGGCTGCTTCCGGAATATCTGGACCTTACTGGAACGATGAACTGGCCAGTGTCACCTGCTTGGCGTTTCTGCACACGCCGTGCGATCCTCAGCTGTTTTCATCAACGGTTACCGGCTGGAACATCTGTGGTATGCCATTTCATTGGGGGCTTGGTCTCGATGGGAGTCCTCCCTGTCCCAATGGGTTAGCATGTCTTTTCTTTCGGTCGACAACAGGTCTCTCGATTTTAACATCTTGATGTTTGAGTCTTCCAATTCTCGCCAACGAGGCGATATGTTGAGATCCCCGAAACGGTGCCTGACTTTGCGGCCTCACCAAACTGTCCCAGCGTACCGGACTCAACAAATGGTTCGTGTGCAGGATGTTGTGTTCTCTCTCCCAAGCTGGACGGACATGTACTTTAAACAAGAAAAACTCGCAACATCAAAGCTCCACAAACATGTATGAACATCAGCATCTAAAAGTAGGTTGGTCCTATGGACACACTTTATCTCATGTTACTTCAATCCATTCAATCAAACATTGCCATCAACAAAGCTTGTTGATGCACCCACCCTCCTGCAATTTTCGATTGAAGTCCGCCGTCCACATGGAAATTAGTTTTTTAAAGTTATAGTGTTTAGATGCGTTTAGGGTGCGTTGATTCAATGAAACATCTTGTATCACTTGACAGCAATTCGCACATGGACACTGTAGGTATCGTTTTGCAAGGTTTGCAGAGTTCGTACATGGTACTTTCATTGGACGTCCTGAGTCCTGCAACGTTGTCCAAGGAAAACTCGAAATCGCAGGCTTGGAGGAAACGACTTACATACCCATCTCTCTCTATAGATATATATATATATACTTGCAGACTTATACTTAGAACATCATTTTTTTCAAAGTGGAAATTCCTTTACTTAGAACATCGAGCTTAGAACATCCAGTGCAAGCACACTTAGAACATGGACCGCAAGCACTCTTAGAACAAGAGAAAACAGCACACTTAGAACATCATATGTATATATACAAATATATATATATATATATTATCTCAATATATATGTGTGTGGGCTTCCCATGGCCATCACTCTTAGGTAGGAGGCCATCGCTGTCTCCAGCACCACACCAAACATGCCACCGCTCTTAGGTTCGAGGCGATGGCTCTTGGGTTGGAGGCCATCACTCTTAGGTAGGAGGCCATCGCTCTAAGGCTTCACAACTATTCCATCTCAATGTCCAAAACACATTAAGAATAAGTTCTAAGTGTATGTGTTGGACTATGTTCTTAGTGTAGGTGCGAGGGCCTGGGATGTTCTTACTCTAGGGTTAGAACATCTGCTGGCACATACTCTTAGAACATCGCGACCTATACACTTAGAACTTCCAGCCTGTGAAAAAAAAAAAACAGATGTTGGTTGTTTTCAAAATATATTCTAAGTGTATGTCTTACGGTATATATGTACTCGACTCACACAAATCAAAGAACAAACACACATATGCTGGACCCAAGTTCCGACCCACTTGCTTGGCACGCTGGTGTGCGTCCGCCCAGCTCTTGAAAAGGCCCTGCGGTGGGAAATTCAGCGAAGTTTTTTCAGGAAATTCAGGAAGCTTCCATGCGCAGTGGCATTGGACATCATGAGCCTATCTTCTAAGCCTGGCTAGGGACTGCTTCAAGGGGGGTACTAGGTAGGTTGAGTTCAGCTCATAGTTGGGTCTGAATTTATTTTGATAACTTGGGATTGACTTGTGACTATGCCTGAGAGAAAAGACATTTCAAAATGATTCTGACATATTCTGACCATCTGAGAGATCTTCTTCAGAACAGTTTTGTGATCCACAGCCCTATCATGAGCCAATCACATCGTCTTTCCCAGCCCGAAAACAGTGAACGGAATTCCAGCATGTACGGTTTTTCAGTTTTTCGTGTTTCGAACACGTGGCACCCCACATGGAGGTCAGTCATGCGGAAAAGCAATGAAAAGAAAACCCAGCGCCTGGCTACCGAAGATCAACCACTTTAAGCCTGAGTTGAGCCAACCAGCTGGAGGTGGGCAGGTCAAGGCCATCGGATGCAATCGAACTGTCTGATCATATCTGAAGGAAAAGCGGATGTCCTTTTTTCCAGTCTTTTTCATCAACCTCTGTCCGATCCCTTGCAAAAAGACTGCTTGATAGATGTTCAGGCTCCAAATCCTCCATCAACTTGCACCATTGAACGAGAAGCGATGGATTTCACCGTGCCGGTCTTGTCTGTCGAAATGATGAGTCAAACTGGAGATCCAAAGAGATCTCCCACGTTGAATAAGGTGGTTGAATAAGGTATATTATCTATATCTATCTGTCGATCTATCTATCTATCTATCCATCCATCCATCCATCCATCTCTCTCTATCTCTCTATGTCTGTGTCTGTGTCTTATATCACGTGTTGTCCTCAGCAACGCAAGTAGAACTCTCATCATCACGCGCCTGCGCTGGACTCGGTGATTTCTTCTGAATTCAGGGAGCCAGGTCATAAACCAAGATGAGGCCGTCATTTCTTACATCGCTTGGTCCAAGCCCCATTCGCCAAGACACGGGCGTTGAAGGCCTCAGATGGCATGTGCTTTTGTCTTTAAAACAGCAATAAGCACCGCAATAAACATGGAGGTCCCTCTAGCGACAAACACTGCCTGTTCTATTCTTGTGAGAGAGAACGCCTTGTGAAGATCAGCTGAGGAACTGATGTGGATGAGTCCCACTTGAGTCCCGAGTTGTTTCCCTGGAAAATCAAAGGTGAACCGAACTGTCCACAGGTCGGATTTGTGTCAGAAAACCTATCTCCAAGAAAGGTTAAAGTTTAAAGGTTATCCGGTTATCCACTGACTGGGTAGGCTGGACAGGTCGGTTGAGGATTCGCGAGACAAATCGCACTACCAAACGGATCTTCAGCTTGCGTTCGTTCAGCAACACTTCTGGTTCACTTGGTGAAATACGCATTAAAATTCATGAAAAGGGCAGCCTCCAGCACAGCAATCTAAGATTCCACTTGTGAGATCCACAGGAGCACAGGTGGTCATTTGCCCCAGATCTCGCAGGAGGTTGTGAGGATATAGCTCACAAAGCTGTGACCGAAGGTTCTACTGGCATCGGAATTCTCTTTCCCGCCAAATTAAATAATTGGCGAAACCAGCCAGACTTTCCAATCCTCAGCAACCTACAGTTCAACCTACTGTTGAAGTGATCCTGTACCACTGATGACTTTGGAGGATACCCTGGCTCTTACTATTGAGAGTAGTTTTTACCACCGGCATAAATCAGAAAGGTCCAGGAAAAAAGCAGTCGGCCCTTCACCGCAGTCGGCCACTCGTCAAACATCGACATGTGACTCCCAGCAAACGAGGAATCTTCCCGTGTTCTTCACATGTTTTGCGAATGGTGGTGTGATGACCTGTAGACCCCTTCCTACTTGGACAGGGTTTCAATCGGTTTCAAATGGCACGGTGGCCCCCAACTATGTAAAGTAAAAGCTGATGGATTAAAACCGCCACAAGAACCAATATGTTGTACTTGATATTCTAATTTAAGTGGCATATATTTATGATACGTGCGGACATCTCAACTTCAAACAATACCCTTCACCCCGTGCTGTCGGGTGTATGAATGCTCCATGATGGATCATTTTCTGAACTCGAAGATTGCATGAATTTTGGATCCGGAAGTTTGTTCGAAGTTTTGTGTAGACGTGGCCCACCTGTCGGTGTGGTGGAAGGGAACCAAAATATCCCTTCACCAGCCGCAAACATGTCAACCAAGAATCTGGATGAGATGAAAACAATGAAACATACGAAGTTGCAGTTACAGAGTGAGGAGACATCTTCCTCCAGGCACCGTCGCGGGGAGAAATTGCAGGCTCCACTTCTCGACTCTGCTCCGCAACCGCTGGTGGCCAGGGCACATCGACGTTGCGGATTCGGTACAAGATCATGGCCTTGTCTTCCACACGCGATGCTTTGCAGGCCCGGACATCCAGGCGTGAGAGTTCATTGTAATAGTGATCCAGCAAATCCTGCGACGTCAGGACGGCTGTCAGTTTCGTTGGGAGGCGCCACTGTTTCAGCGGCGGTCAGACCCGATCCAGGAGGGTTCGATGGTTCAACAGTGAATAGTGGAGGGAAATGGAATCGGCTTCGTGAAGGCCAACAGTCCAACGACTGGGAATCGGATGCGAACGAAGATCTGAATCACAGGCAGCTGCTGCTTCGGGGTCCCCATGGGTCCCGTCTTTGCAACTGGAGGGTTTTCCTTGAGAGTGCCACCGGAGAAGGTTTTGACTCGGTCTTGACCAACTCCGAGGTGTCCATGGCTGCGGGCTTGGACATGCGGGAAGTACGTAACAGCACATCTGTTGAAACGTTCCTGAGGTATTGCAAGTAAACATATATATATATCAGGTTTGATACCGCATCTTTCATACATTTGCAAGTTCTCAGAATTGCAAAAGGCATGAGGCAATACTAGCTACTACTGCAGAAAAATCTAGTATGCAGTTTGTTTATAAAGATGCTTCCGGTCGCAAAAACATGTATACAGCTGTTTGGTCGCTTCCAAGACTATTGGATACTATTGGATAGTATGGGCCATGGGTCTCAAGTGATTCAACTTCCCTTCCGCATTTGACAGCAACACGGTGAAGGAAGGAATACCACTAATCTACACGGTACCATGATTCTCAAAAGCTTGAAAGTTGATCCTTGGAAAACGCTGGAACCAGTTTCACAGTCGACCAAAGCCTCTTCAGGCTCTAAAAAGTTACCAAAAATACTATATATATATATGGTGTTCGCGGGCATTCGATGTGCATCTGCAAGGCACATCCACATCAAAACTGCGTCCAACACGAAAGACCGCTCCTCCGAATGGATCTTCATAACCTGAACAAGGACAGCGAGGCGTTTTGTGACCTGACCTCCTTTCGAGTTGACTTTGTTTTGCACTTCTCAAGCCATTGGACGAGCCAGTAGCCTAACTCTCGAGTTATTATGGAATACCCAACATATGAGAGGGCAAAAGTCCCCACTTAGCATAGGGATTTGAATTAGAGGGTGCGGCTGTGTCAGCCAATTTATAGAATAAAACAGTGGCTGCCATGTGCTTATAGAATTACAGAACTCAGACCTATAGAATGACAGTGCCTCTGAAAACATACATTGGAATCATGGAATATGAGCAAACCTTCGGGACGCATTCTATAGAAAATAACTGCCGAGTTGCCAACTGCCTGAAACATTGTATAGACATTTGTGTTCCCGGCCATTCTACAGAAGGTTGAGAACATTTTCATCATATGTGTTTTCCTTCAGTCATTTTATAGAACCATATAGAAATAATTGTTGGATTTGCTGACTAGAACAAGATTTCTCTATATACTTGTGTTCCGAGGGTCTTTGAACAGTATCTCTCTTAAAAAGTTTAAAAAACAAGAAATCCAGGGCCCTGTGTTGTCATGATGTCCGATCTCTGTAAAATGAACTGCTACAGTAAATGATTATGCATAGAATGCCTGACCAAATCCTCGTCTTTGTAAAATCCATGAACCCAGCAACTCTCTGAAACCTATTCTATCCTAATTGTTCATTTTATAGCGGCCCTAGTGCCACGCATTTCAGTGGAAATCCACATCCTTATCACTTAGCTGGCAAAAAAAGAAACACCGTCCGGGGTTCGAACAGATTTGTGTATATACACTCTGACTCACTCACATGGAAGTGGATGGCATGATCCTTGGAAGACTACTTTCCTTTACGAACACGAGCTTTTCCACTTCCATGTTAGCGAGGAGGAGTGTAATAGTCATTCACTATAACATGAATGTAATAGATTGTCATTCATTGTGGGCTGAATGAAACACACTATACATTCGGACATGAACGACATGATCCCAACATGACGATGATGATGATGATGATGATGATGATGATGCTGCTGCTGCTGATGATGATGATGATGAAAAATAGATAATAATAACGATAAGATGATGATTGATGTTTGATGATGACACCTCCCCCTGTTTTCCCGTCCACCGATCTGGCAGGACGGAAAACCTCAAAGACATTGGTGGAAAACGGAGCAATTGACACACAGTGACTCAACATCCACACAGGCTCACTCCCAAGCTCCCTGGGGCTCAAGACCCCAAGGCGGCTCGACTCCAAGCAGCCGTCGAAATGCCGCAAGTCTCAGCTTCCACCAATTCGGCCACACACCACGCCCTACGAGGTATGTGGAACGAAACGTGCCCACTGAAAGCATCTGAACATTGTGAATCATCGAGATGTGGGTTGGGAACCAGCTTCTTATATAATGGTTCTTGCAGCGCGAGGTATTGGTTGGCCAATACATTAGTCAAAGGAGATCAAAGGGGAATGCTTTGGGGATTGCAGGGAACTCACCCTGAAAAGTCAGATTAGAGTTGTGGACTCTCACCAAAGCGGCCAGACTGGAATTTACATTTGTTTTTCATATTATGTCACACGAGCGGTCCATTGGTCCATGGGTGTGAAAAACAATTGGACCTTCAAACATCTGTATGGTCCCACACCTGGCATTGTTCATCTTCCTGTGAAAGTTAGAAAAACAATCCAGAAACAACATCTCGTTAGACTGGCAAGCTTCTCAAGATTTCTTTATGTTAGGTCCTTTTGCTTCCACCTGCACGTGGTTTGTGGCACCTCAAGGACAAATAGAGAACAACACCACAAAGCAAGTGAAGGGCGCCTGAAACCATTCATCAGGCCCCCTTGAATTGATCACGAGCCCGCCCCTCCTCCAAATCCGCCCGCTGGAGTGGAGACCCCCCCTGAGGACCCCAACAATCCATGGGACTAGCATATATGCCTATATATACATGGGGTTGGTTTTGAGATGTTTTAAGAATCAATGTGCGTAATTATGCCATACATGGAGTGTGTATACGGAGAATAGGTAAACGGGTCTATGTTCATTCTTCCAGGGCCCAGGGGGTCGGCTTGGAGGTCGGTCTGCCAGCCCCTTGAGCTACATCGGTCCTCATAAAGACTTGGAAGTAGTAGTCCACCGAGGCCACGACGATGAAGTCAGGCACTTGACCTGTAGGGAAAGGAGATTCGATTTGAAGCAAAGCACATCTCTTAGGATGGAGCCAAACCAAGAGTGGACGGGTCAATTGTGGACTACTGTATATAATTTCTTCCGTGCATTGACATATCTGTGCCGTCAAAGGAAGGAATGAATATGAATGAATGCCCACATCAGGCGGAGGACTCCTTGCATGCTGGAGAAGGGTCCAATCCAGGTCAAGGGCCCACGGGCCCGGCACGTCCATGGGCTAACGGGCCCCACGGGCCACGTCCACGGGCCCACGGGCTCACCTGTGCATGGGCCCGCCCGTCCCCTTCCACGGACCGTTCAGGCCCAACAGCCACGCGAGGGCCCCGCGGGATCCGCGCACCCCACGGGCCCGTGGGCCCACGGGCTCCAAAGGTATGGTGTCCGTAGTGGCGTCCTTGCTCCTAGTAGCGATGCCAGGAGCCTCTAGTAGCTTCTTGATCCTAGTAGTAAGGCCAGGAGCCCCTAGTAGCGTCCTTGCTCCTAGTGGTAAAAGGTATTGTGTCCGTGTTGTCATATAGCAAAGGGTCAGCGGAGGCGTTGTGCCATGGCTGCGGCTGTTATAAATGTCTGCTCCTCGTATGTCTTTTTTCCCCAGATAGCGAAGCTATAGGGGTTCTAACTTCTCAATGGATGGGTTCCTGATTGCGGAAATTGGCTGCCGCTGCCGCTGCTGCCTTGTTTCCCAAGCTTGTCTCCCGTCATGATTTCGCTCTTGGCTGCCGCTGCCGCCTTGTCTCCCAAGCTTGTCTCCCTTCCCGATTTCGCTTTTGGCTGCCGCTGCCGCCTTGTCTCCCAAGCTTGTCTCTCTTCATGATTTCGCTTTTGGCTGCCGCTGCCGCCTTGTCTGTGAAGACAAGCTTCCTTCATGATTTCGCTTTTGGCTGCCGCTGCCGCCTTGTCTCCCAAGCTTGTCTCCCTTCATGATTTCGCTTTTGGCTGCCGCTGCTGCCTTGTCTGTGAAGGTTGTCTCCCTTCATGATTTCGCTCTTGGCTGCCGCTGCCGCCTTGTCTGTGAAGCACGTCTCCCTTCATGATTTCGCTCTTGGCCGCCTCTGCCGGCTTGTCTTCCAAGGTTGTGTCTCCCTTTATGATTTCGCTCTTGGCTGCCGCTGCCGCCCTGTCTCCGAAGCTTGTCTCCCTTTATGATTTCGATTTTGGCTGCCGCTGCCGCCTTGTCTCCCAAGCTTGTCTCCCTTCATAATTTCACTCTTGGCTACCGCTGCCGCCTTCTCTCCCAACCTTTTCTCCCTTCATGATGTTTTTTTTGGCTGCCGCTGCCGTCTTGTCTCTCAAGCTTGTCTCCCTTCATGATTTCGCTTTTGGCTGCCGCTGCCGCCCTGTCTCCCAAGCTTGTCTCCCTTCATGATTTCGCTCTTGGCTGCCGCTGCCGCCTTGTCTGTTCAGCTTGTCACCCTTCATGATATCGCTCTTGGCTGCCGCTGCCGCCTTGTCTCCCAAGCTTGTCTCCCTTCATGATTTCGCTCTTGGCTGCCGCTGCCGCCTTGTCTCCCAAGCTTGTCTCCCTTCATGATTTTTCTTTTGGCTGCCGCTGCCCAAGCTTGTCTCCCGCCATGATTTCGCTTTTGGCTGCCGCTGCCGCCCTGTCTCCCAAGCTTATCTCCCTTCATGATTTCGCTCTTGGGCCGCTGCCGCCTTGTCCCCGAAGCTTGTCTCCCTTCATGATTTCGCTTTTGGCTGCCGCTGCCGCCCTGTCTCCCAAGCTTGTCTCCCTTCATGATTTCGCTCTTGGCTGCCGCTGCCGCCTTGACTGTTCAGCTTGTCACCCTTCATGATATCGCTCTTGGCTGCCGCTGCCGGCTTGTCTCCCAAGCTTGTCTCTTTTCATCATTTCGCTTTTGGCTGCCGCTGCCACCTTGTCTCCCAAGCTTGTCTCCCTTCATGATTTCGCTCTTGGCTGCCTCTGCCGGCTTGTCTTCCAAGGTCGTCTCCCTGCATGATTTTGCTCTTGGCTGCCGCTGCCGCCTTTTGGCTGCCGCTGCCCAAGCTTGTCTCCCTTCATGATTTCGCTTTTGGCTGCCGCTGCCGCCCAGTCTCTGAAGCTTATCTCCCTGCATGATTTCGCTCTTGGCTGCCGCTGCCGCCTTGTCTCCCAAGCTTGTCTCCCTTCATGAGTTTGCTTTTGGCTGCCGCTGCCGCCTTGTCTCCCAAGCTTGTCTCCTCGCTTTTGGCTGCCGCTGCCGCCTTGTCTCTCAAGCTTGTCTCCCTTCATGATTTCGCTCTTGGCTGCCGCTGCCGTCTTGTTTCTCAAGCTCGTCTCCCTTCATAACTTCGCTCTTGGCTGCTGCTGCCGCCTGGTCTCCCAAGCTTGTCTCCCTTCGTGACTTCGCTCTTGGCTGCCGCTGCCGCCGTGGTTCCCAAGCTTGTCTCTGTTCCTGATTCCGAAAAGCATACTGTACAAGGAGAACACAGCTTTTACCATCATATATAGCCACTGCAATCTCACGCTACTTTCCACCTGCACAGCAACGCGCCATGACAAAATCATCATGGCCCGCGGCTTTGTAGGAGCACGGACACAAGAAACCACGGAAAGCACAGAAGGAGAAGACATAACAATCGTTGCCATGGCAGTGCCACGCACCTTCCCATCATCACAACACCATCGCCTGCGGCTATAAATTATACCGGCATAGACCCCAGATAGCACTTCAAGAAAAGGATAGCATGGCAAGAGCGGGAGACAAGCTTGGGAGACATCCCACTCAAAGCCCGGAAAAGGATGGAAAAGGTAAACAAGACCTAAATCATCTTATAACAGCATCCGCGTCGAAGGCAGGCAAGAAAATCACAAGGCGGCAGCGGCAGCCAAGAGCGAGCTGTGGTCCGAACTTTTCTGTTGTTCGTTGTTCTGTTTGTGCTCGCATTGCGACATTGAGGCTGATATGTGCTTTGGCGCGCGCAGCAATACTGACAAAACTTTCTTGGGTGTCTACTCCCATCAAATCTGGCATGTGCGTTCACGTACGCTTCCCACTCAAACCTGGAACCTGTTACTTTGTTCGGGCCCGTCGACAAAGGAATCTAGAGACCATCACCTGTTCATCCCTTCTGTATCTTCCCCACGAGACCCACGAGACCCACGGTCTCCACGAGCCCCACGGGCTCCACGGGACCAGCCCCACAGGCCCCACGGGCCACATTTCACGGGCCTCTTCACCCGACCCAGATTGGATCATACCCGCATGCTGCGGGATCTTCCATTTTACGACCCCAAATTGGCGCAATTCAGATCTGGAACCACTCTACCCGATAGAGTGGCTTATTCCTGATCAGGGAGCGCGCAGCAGGGAGAAGCTGGGAGAAGTGCGATCTCACTGCCCATCATGACGATCCGAGTGGCCATCGATGACTAATACCGGTGTTGCTAACCCCTTCTGATTTGGAACCGGTGTTTTGCTACTAGGAGCAAGGACGCTACTAGGGGCTCCTGGCCTTATCATTAGGGGCTCCTGGCATCGCTCCTAGGAGTAAGGACGCTATTATGGGGGGCTACTAGGGGCTACCATGCCAATCTATCACAGATCTGGCACCTCATTGTCAAAAGGCCTAGTGTGAGATTATCAACAGTCCTGGGAATTCCCGGTCATGAGTCATGTTTGTCTCAGTTTAATGCATCACAGTGGGTTTGAATGGCACCCCTTTGTCTAACCATAGCCAATGCGTGACAACGTCGGAGGCACACCCAGTGGCCCCATGTGTTGCCTGTCAGTCTGTCACCTGACTCCCCGGGCCGTTTTGGTCTCTGGAAAATCAACGTGAACAGACCTTTCCAACTGTTGGATTTGAGTCGGGTGTCGGTGAATCCGTGGCCATGCCATGCCCCCACCCCTGAGAGAAACACGAGAGACATTCGACAGACCCTGAGCTCCCAGCAGTGCAATAAATGAATCATGTCATCAAACTTGTTCATTTCCTGAGCTGGAGATAGTTTTCCCTTTGAAGGCCCTGAAAAAACAAAGTAAGACCACATTCTATTACCAATTTGACAGCGAATGTTGTTTGACATTGTCAAGATTATCTCTGTTCAGAGTCAGGCAGCTATACATGGAGTGTCATGGAGTGTCTAAGTCTAGGGAGTAGAGAAGGTGAAAGTGCCTTGTGAGCGGCGCCTTCACTTACCTTCAACTTCGGAACAGGGAGCTGTTCCCCATCCGGATGACTCTGCCAGCCTTTCACTAGTCAATTTCAGGCAATCTCTTATGTCCCAGAATTGAACAAATACAGTATAATTATATATATATAACTATACATATAATTATATATATATATTATAGAGTAATTACTGTAACTGTCTTCGTTGTGGAACCCATGAGATTCCTTCCACACTTGACCATATAAAGGGGAAACAGCTCCTCCTACCATCTCTCACTGTCCGCCCACACCCACTTCATCTCGTCCACCCTTCTCACGTCTTCGATGCCCAGAGTCGCATTCATTGGGCGAAGAGTTGAAGAACTTGGGATGCAAGCAGGAGCACAGGGGATAGATATCTCCAGTGACCGAATCCCTGCGCTTGATATCCTCGGAAGACTTGGAAGAAGCACCCAGGTTGGGACGGGAAGAAGCACCCACATCGGTTGCAACGTGAAGATCGTGAAGGAAAGGGTGGATTTTGATCGTCTCTTGCAGTGGATGCGGGATTCTCCAAATCAGGTCGCAAAACAAAGGTAACAACATGAAACAACCAGTTCCAATGGTGGTTCAAAAACCCTAAGTAAGTGGATGTCCTGGGCACCCCATCCTCCATTCAAACTGCTGGAACAAAAGTCATCCTCCACCCTCCACGGTGGTTTTTGTGTTCACGCTTTCGAAACTGCCTTGCTCCCCTCGAGTTGATGAACACATCCCAAATGAGTCCAGCTCCAATGTCATCCCAGGCGTCCCAGTCGTCGTACAAAGGAGTTCCAATAGGCGGTGGGCTTCCAAATCCGCTGCAAATGCAGGAGTGCTGGTTGATGCAAAAAGCGCAAATCCAATACCTCGCGAAGCCAAGCGCGAAGTCAATCACGAAGCGAATCGCGAAGCGAATGAAGTGTTTTGTGTTAAAATCAAGACGTTTTGGGTCAGCAAGCCTCAGGTGCCTCAGGTGCCAGAGATAGCTAGGCTCTTGGTGAAAAAGATCAGAAGCTTCTGACCATTTGTATAGCAGTTCTCAGGGACTTGAAACCAATAACCCAAATCCGATTATAATCTACCAAACAGGGCAATGGTTGGGCAATCACGTGTTTTCCTCTACCAAATAAGATTTGGATAAATATATTCCCTAAATCAGATTGATGAGCGCATCCGGTGTACCTAGTTGATGATGATGATGATGATGATGATGATGATGATGATGATGATGTACCAAAGACCGTGAGGAACAAAGATGGCATTCACAATTCATATGTAGTACCTGTCAATCCCTTTCATACCGGGTTCCAACTATGTCCCTGTTCATCTACAAAAGCAGCCAAAGGGCAAACATGTTGCATTGTTGGAAGATTTAGTAGCAAGCCCTATAGCTCCTTGGCTCACTGTTTAATGGGGAATATATATATATATATATGGGAAACATGAATGGACCCCCCCTTAGCTCCCTCAGTCACTCCCTTCGCACCAACTAGTCCAGCTATGATCACATTCACTTCACCAGGACCCGCCGTACCCTTGGCTCGCTTGGTTCCATGGATCTAACTTGGAGTCATGGAATAATCTATTTTGATTTTTGATCATTAAAACGGCGTCTCCTGGCGCATGCAATCCTGGCGTCTCCTTCTCAGGTCCAAGACTGCAGCTGCGCCAAGATGCTGACTCAAATGTCTCAGATCCCCAAGTTCCTTCGAAACCACGCGAGAACCAGCAAAAACTGGGAGAATGACTCCAAACAACACGACGGGCACAGCAAAAACCTGGAAAAGAGGCGCCGGGCCTCTGTGTCAGTCTCATCTGACCAAGGTCTTCTGATCTGATCAAGCTAAGAATGTTTCACACCTGGATCCTCCAACAGGTGTTCCCTGCTGGCGGCAGTGCCCAGAAACACCGGGTCCCAAAACTGCCTGGCCAGGAGGGTGGCATTGAATCTATTGCTCTCGGCTCTAGGTCATGGCGTGTCATGGCACCTCGGCAGCCCTGATTGACCTCCCCAAACAAACAGAAACAAAACGCGGAAACTGATGTCGACCCGTACCATGCCCGTTCCAAGCGTGCTTGGTACAAGGCACTCATACAACCAAGTGTGATGGGATCTCTGTGGATATATAGGGGGGGTCTTGACAGTGATTTTATAGATGAAATGGTGGTGGTCACCCCCTAGGGAGTATAAAGTGAGCAGGCCTTACCCCAGATAGGTCTCTATAAAATCATTCAACCTCAGGCCAGCATGTGCCTGAGCAGTGACCAGAAAACACATAAAAACAATTCCACGCAACGCGTACGTTTCTTGGATACAAGCAGCTTTCCGCTATAAAATCCAACCCCCACGCCCCCCTGGGCAGGGACCATACCAAGACCCCAGTGATTTTATAGAGGATATATGCACCATGATGTGATGGGTATTACAGCTCATTGACTTTACCATCTGAACATCCGGACCTGATCCTGCGGAGCGAAGGCCAGGAGCCCCTAGTAGCGTCCTTCCTTGCTCCTAGTAGCGATGCCCTTTGCTTCTAGTACCATCCTTGTTCAGGAGCCCCTAGTAGCGTCCTTGCTCCTAGTAGCGAGCCCCTAGTAACCCAGAAAGCTCTCGAACTCGGCCATTTCATGTCGTCTTCACTTCTCGAGATGGCAAATCCACCCTGTCCTTGCGGACCTCTTCCACATTAGTGCTGAGCTGGTCAGAGATCCCACTGTAGGTGTGCACGTTCAAGCCGTCTGCGATGATGGAGGCAACCAGATTCGTGAAGATGTTGTCCCAACCTCATGAACTTGGGCTGATCTCCCACGTCGACGCTAAAAGGAGGACTGTCACCCTGCTGTCACCTACCCCGGTCCCACCTTCTAAGAAAGTGCACTCCAGTCCCACCCCAGTCTAACCAGTCGTACCCCCTCAAAAGGTATTTGGACCTTGATAATTCACTGGCACCATCTGCGATGCTAGGGATCACACCCCGGGGACACCCCAACAGGGAGAAGTTTTACATGAACATCTCTAGTTCTTCTCAGTCCCACAAGGAGTGTAGATCAACACTTAACGGCGGGTGCCTGGGTCCATCCACGTCCTTCTACGGACATCAAGTCTACAGTCACTTCAGTCACTTGGCCAACTAGGCTCTGGACCTGCACCATCCTAGACCCAAGCTGCCCAAGCTCCTCCCAATCCCTTGTTTCATCGCGACGGCGCGAATCGGGGACGAAGCGAAGTCGCAAGCTGCGGCCAAATAAAGTCAGATGAGAGATTCCCAATGGGCTTCAAGTCCATTCTGAGAAGGTGGGAATGGGTGACTGGAGAGTCCAAATACGTTCGGCGTTGGAGCCCTAGGGCCTCCAACCTAGAAGCGATGGCCTCCAACCTAATAGCGATGGCATCCAACTGAGGAGTTGGAGTCCTATTCCCGAGGGATTCCCGGAATGCTGTACTTACCTCGCCCCAGCAACTATGAGTCACCATCTTCGTCGGCGGCCGTGGTGCTCCTGCCCGACTCGTTGGAGACGACGTTTCTCAAAACACGAACGGTAGTCGGCAATATAAAACCACTACTCAGTGATGCAAAGGACCAGGTTTTACTGTGTCTTTGGACCTGTCAGGAGTCAGTGTTCCAAGAGTTTGGATGTAACTTGATGTAACCCTTGTGCTTGGCAAATACCTTGGATAGCGGATGCAGCACCGAGGATGTGAGTCTTGAGTGGCTGGCCCAACAACCTTCTCAGCGGCGATGTGGTTTCCTAGGAAGTACCAAACGGATAGTGAGCCATAGTCTATAGAGTCTACATAGTCTAGAGTCTATAGTGATGCTATAATCGCAAATCATCTTTACCTGTTACTGTACCCACGGTCACTTAGGCCGGACTTGAACCAAAAGTGACGGCAGGTCATCTGAAGTCTGCTGTGAATTCAAGGTTGTTTGGGATTCGCTACTGAAGGCTGAAGGAAGACATCCTGAAATATCTGAGAACATGTATCCAACACGAAAGCCCTTCGACTTGAAGAGCGTCTTCCAGTCCCTTCAAAGCAACAAACACAACACCTTGTCAACCGAGGGGTATCCTCCATACTGGGTGGTGCAAGGGTTCCACAAGGAGGGAATTGATTGTTCCATTCGTCTCTCAGTCCCTCCCAGGTTCACTGTGCATTTCGATGAAGTCATCGTGATTCACGACCACATGGGGTGTCATGGGTGTGTCTCAGGACTGCCGCGATCCATTGACGTCCACAATGGGGTGTCAAATTGGCACCAGAAACTGGGTCTTCACAACTGGGTGTTTCAAGCATCAGAAAGCGGATTTCATTGAATGAGACCTCTTGATCCACCTGAACGTCCCGCCCCCCAAAACCGCACTCCTCCACTCCAAACACTGGCCATTGCCACGCCGGTATCACCTGGTGACTCGGTACGTCGCACTAGACCCTGCTGGGATCGTACAGTTTCATGTGGGAGCTATGAAGGGGTGTTTTTAACGGCTCCCACTGAGGATGCTTGGGTCTAAGAAAGTATGAAGAATGAGTTTATCCCCCGAAAACAGCCAAAAAAACACATGCATAGGCTGCATAAGGTGACTCGACTCACTGGTGAACTATCTGATTTCCTTTTGGAGTACGTGTCATTATGTTCAATATTGATTTGTATGTCTATGACAGTCTATGATTACTGTACATTTTTTCACCTTGGTCTTGCATCAAATGACCTCTGCCGATATGAAAGTGCACTGGCTTCCCTCGTCTAGAGAAATAGTGCTTGAATACACGTTGAAATGTGCCTGTGAAGCTGCCGCGAAAACCTGGCTTTGCCGCGCCCGCTTCCTCTACTCACATGTCTATGTTGTTGTGTATTCAGTCGGCATTCAGTCCGATCGAACTCTCAATTGATTGACACGTCTCATCTTCTGACCCACCTTCAATTGCTCACATGTCTGGGTCTCACAGTTCGGCTCGCAGTATGAGCCACAGGCATACCGGTCAAGCCCAGTTATTCCGGTCAAGCCCAGTTATTCCCAATTCAAAGAACAGCTTGAAACAATTGGTTGGTTTATAAATGGTTTCAAGATTCAAGCCCCTAGTAGCGTCCTTGCTCCTAGTAGCGATGCCAGGAGCCCCTAGTAGCTTCTTGTTCCTAGTAGCTTCTTGTTCCTAGTGCCAGGAGCCCCTAGTAGCGTCGTTGCTCCTAGTAGCGATGCCAGGAGTGAGGTCGGATGAAACATGGTGAAACTCTAAAGCACCGTTCATGCGACAAGCGATTAAAAATCATGGAAGATGCTGGTCGGAGGCGACCATGGTATGTTCGCAGGCGGTGACCCAAAGGATGCTGGTGGAATATGGACCAATCCCAAACCATGCATATATATACAATTTATATGTGGAATTTAAATAGCTACTTGCAGCTGGGTAAGTGGAAAAATCATGTATACATGGAAAGTCAATAATAAATACAAAATCTGTTTGAGTCATCAATGGGCATAAATGTACAGTAAATCTTCTTTACAGGGATGGCCTGGCAATAAAATCCAACGGACTCTGATCGCCCCAAGAAGGTTGACGATGGGCAGCCACTGGGGATTGTTCCTTCATTCTCCACTTGAGGATTCCAGTTGAGAGACCTTATAGGACCCGGTACATGTGGGACCTGCGAAAGGGCTGGTCAACCTCTCTTGGTACGGGCAGCCACTGCAAAATCGGGTCAAAAAAGCAAATGCTTCGCTCATTGGTCTCCGAGTGAACATCTCCAAGAGTTGAATGACATCATATAAAGCTTTCACATTAGTGCTTCCTTAAGACCCAGCGACCTCCACCGATCTCCTATGATCTCCATGCTCCCCTCCCACGTCCCGCCCTTGCGACGCCTTGGTCCTTCCCCGCCGCACCTCGACGACTCAGTGGGATGATCGCTTGCCGCACCACGTCGTTGGTGGTGGACATCTCGGTGATAAAGCTGGGCATCACGCGCTTCTCTTGGAGCTTCTCCTGAACAAAAGGAGCAGCGGCTGTGGACAAAACATTATTATTCCCATAGATTAATTCCGCTATAAATGTTTGGACTGACCGCGGCATCTTGCCGGAGAATATCTGAACCATATTAACCTGTGGTGAAACAAAGCAAACTTGAACATGGGGATACATTGTTACATGATGTTACATGGGGTTATATATCTCCTCATATCACCAAGCTTGTTTACCACATTTAGTGCTCATCGTCCTTTGTCCAAACAGCACCATATTCCCCGCACCTTTGTATCAAGCCCTCCAGAATTGGCCAAGCAGCAATGAAGTTGATGAGCTCCACCACATTGACCTGACAGTGACATGAATGAATGGCATCACAGTGACATGGTGACCGTGAACGGTCTGATTGCTGTGAGAGGGTGGCGGAAAGAGGTGCTGACTGAAATGAGACTTCCCGGATGTCCTTCAAAGGCACCAGCAATTCCCCACCTGAAAATGCCTGTAACGCCGTACTCCACCACAACTGGTGAGTGATGGTGGGTGACTTACATAACCACCGTTGGCGACCAAAAACACGGCACCTTCACCGTGGGGAGGCTGCGACCCAAAACGGGGAAGCCAAGCGGGAAGGTGTTGGCCACATGACATGGCGTTCAGCACATGTCCCTCTTGTTCAGTAGGTTGGAAGGTGGAAAACACATAATTAATGTAAACACGTGTAAACACCCACATACTCTCTCGGCACACTTGAAATCCCTGCAGTTTTGCTGTTGATGCAAAACTGCATGTCCATTTGGGAGGAAGCAAACACCAAGGAGTCATCGCAGACATCCAGTCCTCATACCGTACAATCCAGATGCTGCGGCCAGTGGTCAGATTACACATGATTCTCCCCACAATGCCTACCAGCATCCTCCAACAGGTCTCTGATTCTAGAGGGCTGTTGGGCCCTAACAGGTCCCAAGACCTGTTGGAGGGTAGCGGTGGGGTAGAGTAGAAGTCCGCAGAAGGACTAACATGACATTTGAACAACAAAAAGCTACTGAAGCAGCTGAAAACGGAGTTATGCCCTACCTCATCTCTGCAACCCCAACGTACCACGAGGCGGTTGTTTATGGTCGTTGCTGTTGCTGTTGTCGTCGTCGTCGGGGTATGCTGTTTATCCCAAAACACCACATCCTCACCCGCCAACAGCACCCTAAAGTAAAGATGTGACATGGTTTGTGCATGTTGGGGAAGCTAGTGGCCCCATTACCCCACCCCTGTCCCAAGCTGTTCAGTCGTCTCGGTGTTTTGTAGTGCGGGTACGGGACGACGGGTCAGGTAAACTTGGTTGAAGGAACCGGGAAGAACCCCGAGGTAACATCTACCCCATGAACGACTCCAAACAAAACATAGCTTCCCTGCTTCCCTTGTCCAACCTCTGCCAAGGAACCCATCACAACTAAAGGTCTGTTCAAGCTTCAAAGGATCTTGCCAAAAACAGTGAGATTGTTCGGATCGTTTTAACGTTTCAAGCAAAAGCACGCAACGACCTGCTCAACAGCTTTTTCATGCTCTGCCCGAGTCCTCCTGCCGCCCCCTGGATCCTCAACGTTTCCGGACCCAAACCTTTACATGACTATTGCCATGAGCAATTGTTACGCTATTCGGAAAGGGTGAAAGGGTAAGCGATCCAAAACACACCATGTTTGCAGAGTTGAGGAAATAGACCGATTTTGGTGCACCTTTCACACACGGATCCGCGACTGAACTCATCCTTCTCCAGAAAACAAACATCCTGGGCTGAACATGGGATCCTCCAATAGCTTCCTTATGCTTCCTTGTTACTAGTAGTAACAAGTGCCTCGCTAGTAGTAACAGGTGCCTTACTAGTAGTAACAAAAAGCTAGTAGTTGATTTAGTTTTAATTTATCCTCCAACTCGACCAACTCTACCCGTCTGAAACACCGAAGTCGACCGGTTCCTTTCGGACAGGTCGAACGACTCGACGCGACCGTGGCGCTGAACGGCTGGCCAGCTCGGCAACCTTGGAGTGCCAGGGCCCCTCACTGCCGCCGCAGCACTCACAGGAACGGGTGGTATCCTTCAAGTCGGTGTCCTGGGCAACGGCTCGTATCCCGCGGTTCGGCGGTCGGGCGGTTCTCTTTTTTGATGGATGGGGGGATGGGAGAGAACAGGAGGACGTATGATGGGGTTGTGGTGGAGCTACACTGTGTACCTATAGTGTACCTATAGTTACAGTGAACAGTGAACAGGTATACCTTATACATATGTCTATATATATATATACTGTAATTACTACAGGGTTGTCCTTGGAGGAAAGCACACTAACAGGAACCCCTGCTGTAGCTGGGGGTCACCCAGCAACAAATGGTGCTGACAGGTCACAAGCAGTGCTGCTCATAGGTTGTGGTGCTGGTTTTCTGAAGTGGTAACGCTGAAGGAACCAAATTATCTTACTCTCTTGGAACCTCTGGAAGTACTGTAAAAGGTCAACCATTTCCAGCTGTTCAGGCTTAGGCAAAGGCAACCCAGCACAACTGGAGACAACCGGAGACAAGGAAAAACCTACCTACCAGCAAAAGCACACTTTCAAAGGCAAGCCTGGGGGGGAAAAACACGGAACGATGTCATTTCAGCAGGTCTTCTCCACCACAACCCTTCTTCCTCCGGTTCGTTGGCTTCTCACCCAACAAAACAACTTCCAAAAGCACCACGGATGCACGTCTTCCCCACGTCTTCCGCCTTGTTTTTCCAAGGCGCTGGCTTCTGTAACTCAGGTGGGCGATCCTGGTAGAGCAAGCCAGAGAGCACGGCCAGGCTGAAGGCGTTGGCTAAATCATCGATGTCCCAAAGTAAGACATCCAAGAAGAACCTCAAGACATCGGCTGGTGATGTGAAGAACCTGTGATTCTTTCCAGTGGAAACATATATAACTTATAATATACTCATAATGCTTTTGTGGCATGCTGATCATGTTGAATGGTGGGACACGCAAGCTCGTTTGGGGGATGAACAAGGAATGAATGCCAGCTTTTCGCTGTTTTCTGATGCTGTGTGATCGGATAATTTGGGTTTTCGTGAACTCAACAGCTTCCATCCAGCAACACGAGCCATTTGAATTGGGCCCCATCCGTCCACCATGGCTGCCTGCCTGCCATCTACATGCTCTGCTTGATCCTTTATCAAATGAAAGACATTCTTTCTGTGTGGTTGATTGTTGTGAGCTCCTCTTGTATGATTCCAGTGCAAGAAGCTTGTTTGAGGGGGGGATAATAAAATGACAAGAAAATGATAGAACATGCATTGGTCAAACCATTCACACCACGCCTTTCATTGACAGTTTGACAGTCCCTCTGCCTTATACTTGAAATGACAAGTTGAGAAACGCTTGAATCCACCAACCAAAAGTAAGAATCTGAAAGAAAGATGAAGAGATCACATCTTTTTATAAACACACACAGCCACTGAGATACCTTGGTTTGGCTGCCATGCCTGCACCCCAGTTCGGTCGCGTCGTCGCATCTTCCGCCGAAGTCCCAAGGAACCACAAAGGGATGGGCATCCATTTGGACCAAATGCCACACACAGCTCGGCCCAGAAAGTTCATGCAAGTCCTGAAGGATGGCGAGATACACTGAAAGAACATGAACACAAGTGGTGAAGTCTTTGGCGCGGCGAGAAACACAGAAGCATGCAAAAAAGAAATGCAACGTTCCAAATGACACAACAAATAGATACAAATAGACTTTAAAAAAATGGGACCCCATTTCAATGTAAACAATTTTTCTCATGAAGACTCACTGATCAAAACGTGAGTCGTATCGAATCCCCAAATGTAGTGATCATCACAACTGCACTCCTGCTGGAAACTCACCGGCTCAGTGGTTCTCCAAGTTCTTCAGATTTCAGGCGGTGGGAGGGTCCACTTTCTCAGAACTCGCAAGGGGTGGGGAATTCCCTGTAGCTTGTCACAGCTTGTCTCCCTGTTTCAATGGGGAATATATGGTACTACCCGGTAGGGCCTGGGCTCCGAATCGTTCCCTTCTGAGCACCAGCGATGCGAGAAGGCGTCGTCGATCCCTCCTGAGGGCTTCATCGTTTGGATGATCGTTCTTCATTTTCGTCTCCTCCGAGCGTCAAAAAGGAGGTGGTCATTGAGGCGGCGCGCTCGATCCTCAAGCGTTTGGCGGCCCATAAAGCTTCGGCCAAGGGCGCGGATTCCAAGGTTTTGGCCTCTTGACTCAAAAGTCGGCATGGGAGGCTGAAGGAGCCTGAAGGGCCGAGCCGAACCGTCCAAGTGCGCTGGGCGGAGAGCGGCTGTGCAAGTGGTAGGGAATGTAAGGGGCGACGATGTCGGGGAAAATCAATTGCAAATCCAGTGCAGAAGCTGAGTGTGCAAACTAAGAGTAATTATCTAACTGTCTTGGAGAAACCCAACTTGTAGCAAACAAAGTGGTTTGATTTGTTTGGGCCGTCGTTCCTTTGGGAGAAGAACTCTCAAAAATGTCCAAAGGACTACGTGGAACATTGCCCATTGTCCGCCTCTACTTTTAAGTCTTAAGGGATGCTTTTCGTCTAATTAATTGCAGTGATTCTCTTCTTAGCCACCTGGATGCACCAAACTAAAAGCGTCAAAATCCGGAAGGACGCCAAAAACTTAAGTTCTCCGTGTCCTGGTACCACCGGTGAAGTGTGTTCCCCGGGCGTGTTCAATTGTCCACCCTCCCGTCTTCTGCCACGCAAAGAAGCTGCAGAAAGCGAGACAGCACAGCAGCCACAGGAAAGAGGAGATGAAGTAGAAAATGTCAGTGACCAATGGTCTCCTTGGATCAATCGTTCCCCAGGAAAGGAATCAAATGTCAGTGTTCAATACAAAAGAAGGATCAAATCAATCCTCGCTCTGAGTAGTCATCGAGCTCACTTGGGAACCACTGACCTTCTCCAGGGTCCACATACACCATCCGTGCCGTTTAGGCGTTTAGGCCCCTGGTGGTGCCCGAAAAAGATCTATGGTGGTAGTCCATTTGCCACCCTTGGACCCTTGGATGTTGAACAACCAATCTTGGACCCTTGGGTTCTAATGGGGATGGTTTTGTCCTTCTCGAAAGACCAACAAGACCTCTGCACCGGATGTTGATGGGTCAACCGAACGAGCTGGGCCACTGATCGACCACCCAGTCCCACCAATCGGCCAAGGGGGCGGAACCGTGATACCAGTCGACCAGGGCCATGAAGAATCTCCACCAGGAGTTCCGGGTGGCAAACCCTAAACCCATCCAGTGGCAGCAAAAGAAACTGTGAATGGAAAAACGCACGACCCAAAGCATACCTTTTCATGAAGGTCATGAACACCTGAGGAAGGTGAACCACTGGTCAAAACGACCTGCGTTTGGCTCAAGGAACAACGTGAGCGGCTGTCTTTTTTGTCGGTCGCTCTTGAGGCTTTTTCCATAACCACAGGTTATGAGCCCAAGAGCTTTTTGAAGTCCACCCTCATTTGAGGTTGCTGGTCCCCATGAGCGGAATGATGGCTCGGCGTCGGCGGTCTTCCCGAGAAGGAGGTCGGCTGCGGGATCCAGGAGATCATGAAGGGCATCTGAGAGTGGGCGCAGCTGATGAGAGGCTCGACACCCTCCTTGAGGAGGCAAGGGCATCATCGATGCCACCTGCTGTGAAGAGAGTGGGTGGGGCTCCTGCGGCTGTCGAAGGGCGGAGATCCTCAGCGGCGGCTGTTGGGGAGACGGTGAGGCAATCCCTTGAGGTGTCGCAAAGGGCCTTTGGACAAACCCCCCAAGGACCGATGCCGGTGGGACCTCCGCCTCCTGAGGGACTTCTTGGACCCCTATTTCATGGCCGCGATCCGGGACACCCTTGCGCTGATGATCCAGGACAACCTGGAGGGCAAGGGGCTTGGCAGCGGGCGGCACCCAATAGCTCGTCGCCTCAGTTTCCAATTCCGCCGAGAGCGGACCGGAGCAGCATGAATGTTGAAGGTGGTCCACAACCTATCTTCCGGCTATGTGTGCCACATCTGGGATTATGTTGGGCCCTCTTGAGGGCCTCTGTCAGATCATCTTGAGGCACATGTTCCGCCTCTACTGTCAACGCCTACCCAGCACCCGTCGGGCTTGGGTGAGTCACAGCTACTGATTTCATGCACCGGTGTCTCCTCCTCTCCGCCTGAGGAGGTGACCGTACCAGCCGACGGTGCTGTCGATTAAGCCTGTCCGCGCAGCACGCATAACCGACACTGCTTGAGCCCTACGATATGTCCACACCCCATCAACATGGGCGGCAACAGACCAATCCTTTTTGGAGCGACCGTGGTCGTGCACCTGATGTAGGATCCCGTTCTGAGCGACCTCAACCCCCTATGAAGAGAAGTCCAACGGCTCAGGAACTGGAAGCCATCCGGGAGCGCATTCTTAGTGAAGCCCATTTGAACTTCGAGAAGGAGGTCAAGAGGCTGACAGGTGGTGGAGATTCGTCGACCTTCGAATCGGCGAACAGTGTGGGCGAGCGGGTGAAACTTCGTGGTTCCACAGATGGTCAAGGTGGGAACCCTGGTGATGGTGCTGGTGAATCACTACCTGATCAACCCCCTGGATTACCTGAGACTACAACCGGGACATTGTCTTCAAGGTGGTGGTGGAGCAGGGAAGGTGACCAGGATTGGTGCTGGAATCCCCGTGGCATCGACGACTGAGGCCCTGCGGAACTTGGAGCTTCCATCACTTCCAGCTCCCAATGGAGAAGGAGCTTCGATCCTTTTCGGCGACTGGCTGACCATGGCCTTTCCGTTGATGGCGGACATCTCCAACTCGGCGAAGGCCTGGTGGGAGGAGTCACTGATGGTTGCACAGGAGCACTACTCGCGCTGGTTGCGACTGAGCCCACTGGAGAGGTTGAGATCAAAGCCCCAAGTCGAAGTGGATCCAGCATTTCAACGAATTGAACAGCGTGGAATTGCCATGCTGCTCGGAGCACTACCTGATCAGCTTCGTCGGGACCTGGTGTCGGGAAGGCAGCTGTCTGTGGTGCACATCTTGTACAGGCTCCATGTGGCGTACCAGCCGGGGGGCGGCGCTGAGAAAACGCAACTCCTCAAGAATTTAGTGGAGTCAAAGTTCTCCACATCGGTGGGAGAATTGTTGATGCAGGTCCGGTTGTGGCGACGTTGGCTATCTCGTGCACAAGAACTTCACCTCAACCTTCCGGACCCTCTGGTCCTCATGCACGCCCTGCAGCGCATGATCGACAGCACCCAAAAAGCAGGAGGCACTCAAGTGTCATTCAGGATCTCAAATGTTCGGCAAGAACTCCGAGTTGACTATGCAGCTTCCTTGGAAGGAGTCACTGAACTGGCTGAGTATGTGCAGGCGGAGATCGAAGAGATGTCCCTCACCGCTGCTCAGAAGGGTGGTGCACCACTGGCTCAACCGGCTGCCTCGTCCAATCAATCGGCCTCGACGTCACTGAAGGCTATGGCATCGTCATTTGGAGCAGCTGAAAATGAGGAGCGAGCAGCGGGAAGGCCTGCTTGTAGGTTTTGGAAGTCGGAGGAAGGGTGCAAGAGGGGCGCTTCATGCACCTACGCCCACGACACCTCGGATATGAAGAACCGATGCTTTGGTTGCGGTGGGAACCACATGAAGCGTGAATGTCCTCACCAACCCAAGACTGGAAAGACCGACCCAAAGAAGGTGTCAAAGGTGAAAGCCACAAAAGAAGGAGAAAAAGGGGAGACCGTCGAGAAGATCGCCAAGGAGCAGCCCGCAAGTGAAGAGCCGTCTCCGGGGTCATCGCCGCCTCCTACCACGACCACCTCCAGAATGGCAGAAACACCTGATAAGCCACTGGCAACGTCCTTACTCAAGACACTTCGGAGCTTGAAGGTGCTTCGCGTGAAGGAGTTGAAGCCGGTGAGCACTGATGGGTTGGCGCCTGTTGGACTACTGGATGGGGGAGCAACTAATGGCCTTCGTCGAGCACACCAACAGGAGCTGGAGAAAATGTACCCGGTGAGGGTGGAGTTGGCCTCAGGGTCAACAACGCTGTTCAGGGTGGATGACCACAAGACTTTGCTGTCCAAGGACCACGTGGAGGTCATTGTCCCGCTCCATCGACTGGTGGGTTTGGGGTATCGACTTCAGTGGACGGCAGCTGGAGTGAAGATCAATCACCCTGATCATGGCAGGATTGACTGCGCGCTTCGTGGGGGATGTCCGGTTCTACCTCGGGGGGAGATCTTCACCGATGATGAGGTACGATCATGGTGGTCATCAAGATTCCCTGAGGTCCCTGCGGAGGTGTGGGAGTTCATGAAGGGCCAGGACAGCTTTGATGCTTGCACCTGTCCATGGAATCGACGCCAGCGGCGACGACACCTGGCGTCCCGTGGTGTGATTGTCAACCTCTTTGCCGGGAAGGACTACAAGAGTTGGTCCAAGACGGACTGGGGTGGCTTCGAGATTTTGAATGTGGATGTGACGATGGGCGCACAGTTTGACCTCCATGGCATTGGAACCTGGGGGTACCTATGTCACCTAGCTCGACGAGGACTCCGCACGGTGTCACGACTTAGGCACCGGGCTCCTGGTCCACGCCCTTTGAGAGGTCGAGATGACCGTCGGTTCATGCTGGAGGGACTGTCTTTGCCGGAGCAGGAACTGGCCCTCAGCGATTGTGCTTTGATGATGAAAAAGATTGGTCTTTGGCTCCTCGCTGATGAACATCGTGGAGAACGACCAGAGCCCGGATTCCTGATGGAGTCCCCAAGAGACCCAATGGACTACATGCCGGAGGAGGCCACCAAGGAGGACATGCCAAGCTTCTGGAACTTCAATGAGGTGAAGAAGGCTGCAGAGCTGATGGGCGCATCCTTGCTGGCTATGGATCAAGGGGCGATGGGCCATGTCAAGAGAAAACCAACATGTTTGATGGTCGCCAATCTGCCACAGATGAAGGAACTAGATGGCGTATCTGGAGAAGGTCGGGGAGAAGCGGAAGCGACATCGCTCACCGGGAGACTGGCCCAATCAAGGGAGTGGTCGGCCTGGGCACCGGGCTTGGTGGCGGCGGTGAAGGAGTGCTTGAAGAACTTCCTCCTGGACTACAGGCGCAGGTGGGGTGCGGAGGAGATCGTGCGTCACGGCGAGCCTGGAGTGAAACGGATGAGCATGGAAAGTTGGAAAACCCACGTGCAGAGCCAACATCAACCCTACAGGAGGGACTGTCGGCGATGCATGGAGCTGATGGGCGTTGATGCGCCACACCGGAGGACGTCAGGAGATCGATCGGCTCACTGCCTGTCCTATGATATTCTGGGGCCAATGCCATTGGGAGATGATGTGGGCTTGGGCACGAAGTCGAAGTACATCATGGTGGCAACGGTGGCCATTCCAAAGCTGCCTCGTGGTTTGGGGGGAGAAGGAGATCGTCCAGCTGAGGATGATGAACGCCGCCATGTTGATCGAGGAGATGAAGAACATGACCCAGCTAATCAAGGAGGTGATGAAGAACCCGCCAACCAAGAAGATGGCGAACAGGTTCTCCATCAGCTGGATGAAGTGGAGGATGAAGACCGGGTTGCGCAGGAGGATGCAGTCGCCCTCAATGAAAGCTGGAAGAAAGCACATTGATGACCTGGCTGCGCCCGTGGGAGTTCAAAATATTACACTGGTGGAGCCCCTGGAGTCGAGAGGTCAACATGATGTCACAAAGGTGGCCACGAGGGTGTACTGCCGCTTTAAAGCGATGGGCTTGAGGATCATCCGTGTCCACACGGACAGGGAGTGCGCTTTCTTCTCCAAGGTGTTCCAGTCCTTCTGCCGGCGCTTTGGTCTCTACCAAACCATGACGGGGGGCGATGAAGGCCCTTCAAATGGGAGAATCGAAACGGAGGTGCAACAGGTCAAAAGACGGCTCCGGATGTTGGTCAGAGAAAGTGGCCTTGGAGAGGAGCTGTGGCCTGGCATCGCTCGCTATGTTGGCGAAGAACGACTACGGCATCAATGCATAAAGCTTGGAGTTCCTTGCACACGCTTGATGCCAATTGGAGCCCGTGTCACCGTCAAGACCAAGAGGTGGCACAGAGCTGGGTTTGGACCATTGATTCCGCCCTTTCGCACGATGACCATCCTCGGACCATCACCTTTCATGACGGAGGGCTATGTGTTGAGGGAAGGTCAACAGGTTCAACATGCACGTGTGGTGGTGCTCACTGACCCGATGGCTGACCGAGCTGTCTTGGAACTCCAGGAAGTACCTGATCCATCGCGCCCATCCCACCGGGTCATGGGCAAACAGCCACCTGACCCGTGCTTGCCGCAGATTCCGGTACCAAGGTTGAGTGATGATCTACATCTTCAAGCTCTTCAAGCTGGACATGTTGGTTTGGGGGGAGAGCACAAAGAAGAAGTTGGTCCAGCCCGTCGCTTCGTCTGGTCTGGGGGGGAGTCTCTCCTCTTGAAAAGCAGTGATGGTGGTGAAATTCGAAAAGGGAATGGTCATGCACATCGTGAACCTTGGGTGTGTGGCGAATGTGGACTGCAGGTACTCCCGGTGAAGTGTGGTGAACAGCGGGAGTATATGATCTACAAGCTGAAGGAAGTGAGTCAGTGCCAGTTTTGTGAAACCCCGCTTGAAGTTCCATGCCATGAGGCAATGCAGGGGCGTGTGGAATGTGGTCTGGACGAGGCACTGAGACTCCGTGAATATGTGGAAGAAGAGCACTGGAGCTGGAAGCGTCTATGGTCGGACCTGGCGAAAGACGTGGCGGTGGGTGAAGGTGAAGGAACCATGCAGGGCTACATCCTCGACTATATGGAGAAGATGGTTTTGGAGATGGAGGACAAGCTGACTGAAATGCGAAGTGGCGATGAGGAATACCAGATGGCGGCAATGGCTCTTGGTACCTCGCCACCGCAGGAGCAGCAGGCGGTCCACTCAGTCCTGCAGACCTACACGGTCCCACTAGCCCAGGTTCGAAAAGATCTTCCACTGTGGATTCCACCTCTCAAGAATGAGGTAACATCATTGGAAACCTCAACTATAGTAGCTGTCCGGCCCGTGAAGGTGAAGGATTTGGTCAATGAACCAGGCTATGAACAGATGCTGGTGGTCCCATCGAAGGTTGTCCCGACGGTGAAGGCCCCGGACGCTCGCAAGAAAGCCCGCATTGTTCTCTGCGGCAACCTGGTGGAGGACACCTCAAAACGTCAAGAACAGCCTATGGCCCTTGAGGATCGTCAAGACGACTTACCACCTCAACAGAAGACCATGGGAAGCAGTTTTGACCTATATGCCAGTGGCATTGATGGAATGTCTCTGAGGTGCACCTTGCGAAAGGCGGCTCAGGAGAAGTGGTCTATTGGGGTCACTGACGTCTCCACGGCGTTTTTGCTCGCACCTCGGAAATCGTCCAGGCTGATGGTGACTAAACCGCCATCTATACTGGTGGAAGCTGGACTCATCGAACCTGACATCCGCTGGGTGATCGAGAAAGCAGTCTACGGCCTGGACACCTCTCCGTCTGACTGGCAGGCCTACAGAGATGAAGCTTTGCAGAAGATGCGATGGTGAGAAGATGGTGTACACAACTGGGTTGTTCCCACTCCAGAGCCTAACGTGTGGCGATTGATGACTGCGCTGGGAGGCGAGGAGGACTTCGTGAGTGTGATGGATGATGGTTCAACGGCTGGATATGCGTTGTCCTATGTCGACGACTTCATCGTTACTGCACCTCGACCCACGGCAGAACGTTTTTTGAAGAAGCTCTCAACCATGTGGAAGTGCGCAGAGCCAAAGTGGGTGACTCAGCACCAATGGTTGAAATTTTGTGGAATAGAGATGAGGTGGAAGGATGATGAATTGTTGGTGGGGCAGCCTGACTACAACACGCGGGAAATTGTTAGTTATATCCTGATCTTCAACCTCGTCAAGTTCCCCTCCCGAAGCTGGATGATTTGGACCTGGAGGACGGAATTCTTCAGGAAGATGTGAAAAAATGTCATATCATCGGCGAGCTCCTTTGGCTATCGACACGCACCAGGCCGGATCTGAGCTTCGCTGTGTCCTACCTGGGGTCCAGGGTGACTAAATGCCCGAAGAGAGTGCTCAAGCTGGCTTATCATGTGGTGGGGTACCTCATGAACACCCTTGACTATGCGCTCGCCTACAAGCCCTGTTCCGAGGAGATAGACTCCTATGGGCGACGGAGCTCAATGTCCAGGCTGGAAGTGTTGGCGGACTCGTCGTTTGCACCGACTGGAGGAAAAGGTCATCAGGGCATCATGTGCCTATGGGGCGGCGCTTTGGTGGCTTGGGAATCAAAGACTCAGCCCTTTGCAACGCTGAGCACAACTGAATGTGAACTTCTGGGGTACGTCGATGGCTTGACCCTGGGAGAAAGTGTTGGAGCGATCGTGAACGTCCTCGAGCAGAATGCGCTGGCCCACGAAGGCTGCTATGTTTTGCGGGGCGACAACCTGTCAGGTTTGCAGCTGCTGCATGCCCCAAGCGGGCCTTGGCGGACGAGGCATCTTCGACTCCGCAGCCATGTTTTGAGAGAGCGGCTGCAGATGAAGTTGTGGCATGCAGAGCACATCCCTGGCGCCGATCTATGCGCTGACCTGTTGACCAAGGCGATCACTGTGCCTCGGAGCTGGGAGACATTTGCTTCTACGGTGGGGTTTGCTTCGGTGGATTCTGGAGCATCTGCGGAGGTTCCGGCGCTGTCTCGCTTGAAAAGGTTGGCGCTGGGTGCGGCGGTGGCATTGGGACTGCTAGTGGTGGCTCCTGGCTCGGACACTGCGGTCCGTGCAGCATCGGTGTGCAGCTTGGCAGCTCTGACGGCCTTTGTGCACAAAAAGTGTTCGAAGACGGCAAATTGCCTGTCAACAAAGAGGTCTAACACATCCCATTCAAAAGAAACACCAAGATGGTCGAGGGAAGATGAACCCGGCCCAAACACAAGATGGTCGAGGGAAAATGAACCCGGCCCAATCGCATGCGGGAGAAACACAAGCTACAGAGCATCCCCGCACGTCGCTCGTTCGATCTCGTTCGACTGTTGCCGGACCGGCACCCCAACGGACGCGAAGGGTTTGAACTCCACTTGCAGCCATGGCAGAATGCGCATGTGCGCAATGAAGGCGCCACCTCCAAAGGCGCCGCCGAAGCATGTTGGCCTGGGCACTGATGAGCCTTGGCAGCTGGCGAGATTCATGTCTCCACCTACGGGGAATGACCAATGGGAGTGCCTGGGATGTGTGGTTCCGCCAGCGGAGAATGGTGGGTGAGGGTTCTGAAGAAATCGCGAGTGCGACAGTTCCATCCGCTTCATAGAGGGACGTCAATGTCCATTGGCCGTCTCTCTCCAACCCGCATCACCGTGGCCTTCAGCCGGGGGAGCACGAGGGAGGCATGGGTTCGCAAGCTCTCCATCGATGACTGGGTGGAGAACAGGAATTCAGATTTGAAAGGATGCTATGAGTGGTGTGGCTACTCCTTCTTCTTCGTGAAGTTCGGCCCTGAAGCTGGCATCCACGAGGGTGGGAATTCTTTGCCTTCTGAGGCTCAGCTGCCGCTCCGACCAGGTGCAAGTGATCCGCCGGTTCATGAAGAAGATGGAAATGATAGTGGCGTCTCCTCGCGTGCTGCGGAGAGGGGTCGAAAAGCTGTGGAGGCCTTAACTGGCACTTCATTTCGAATGTCTCGTGCCTACGATGGCACGGCAATCAGTGCACGAGACAATGTGACCTTGGAGGGTGTCCCCGCGAGCGGCTATGAGGCGAGGCGCCTTGGATGCTTGGAGAGGGGAGAGATCGGGCCAGCTGCTTCGACGAAGGCAGAGGACCTGAATGAGGAGGCCTGGAGGGTTTCGCTGGAAAGTGAGCGGTTAAGTCCGCCAGAAGCCGATGACCTGCCCATTTGGATGGGCATTGAAACGCCCTTTGTGAGGCCATCTGGCCTGAGCCACGACAGCGAAGATTCGCGGTCGGCTGGAAGCTTTGAATTTTTGGGTGAAGCCGCAGACGAAAAAACCTGCGGTGGATCCCCATAGAGTACGCTGGTGTCACAGACCCAGCATAGGGGGAGTGTGAATGGAAAAACGCACGACCCAAAGCATACCTTTTCATGAAGGTCATGAACACCTGAGAAAGGTGAACCACTGGTCAAAACGACCTGCGTTTGGCTCAAGGAACAACGTGAGCGGCTGTCTTTTTTGTCGGTCGCTCTTGAGGCTTTTTCCATAACCACAGAAACAAATCATCCCAGTTCAGAATTGTTCACAGAGCTACTGTGCTACTTGCAGGAAAATGTCCTCACCTGAGAGTGAGATCATCAACGGATGTCGCATCTAGTCTCTACCGTGACTTCCAGGCAGGACCCGTCCCTTCCACCCAAACCGCCCAGGTCATACCCAGTGTCTTTAGCTGTCCAGGGAAGTTTGTGCCATTAGCCACATTGATCCAGGTCAGCAAGAAGGCTGCGATCGTGGAGGTCAAAGTGCCCAAGGCCAAGAGCCACGCCAAGGTTCTTGCACCCACCTGAAGATGTTTAAAGGGGGGGTAGGCCGCGAGGAGGTAGCTTGCTAGGGAGGTAGCTAGTAGCTTAGGTAGCTACTAACTACTGGACGCAGAATAGTTTGCGTTTCTTCCTGTCGGGCGGCGGGGGAAGCTTCCTTGAAGAAGCGCTCACACTTTATAGGGAAACTTAACTAGAAATCTTGCGGGCTTTGGGCTGGTCGGATTGAGGTCCGGCACTTTTTTCCGCCCAAAGGATGATCCAGGTATATGATAATATATGTGTATATAACTAATCTAGATGTTGTTTGGTCGGGATCTGGAGCTATTTGATCCTTGATTAGTTGCATTATTTTTCTTGTGTGTTTCTTTGGGTGTATGCAGATCACCGGAGAGATTGCTCGAAGAGTTGCAGACATTTTCTCCAAACCGCTTTCACACCACTTGCGTCAACGCAGTGTGGAGACCTGAAAAAACATCCGGATCCAAGATTCTGAAAAACAGGGATGATAAAAGGATCCCCCGGTGCATTCCAGAGGGGGGGTCCTTCCTTCATTTTATAGACATGTTTTGGCATGCGTGGGGGTATGTTTATATAAAATCAAGACCTGTGACCTTCAAACAAGCTTTATGAAATGCAGTGGCTAACCCTCTGTTTTGGCACTCAGATGTCTTTATAGAGTACTATCAGCAACTTTACTAGAGCTTAGAGGTTGAGAAAATATAGAGAGCTGTCGGGTTCTTCCGACCTTGTCCGTAAGCGGTTCCGATGACCGTTTACGAGACACGTCACGTTCGTTTTATAGAACAAGTGCGTTTTGAGAAACAGCCTCAAGCGCTCTGTTTTTTTCAACCGCTCCCATCTCTGATCATCCGTTTCAGCGCCTCATCCCTCAAGGCGCATTCTGTCTGTTCTTTGATTCAAAAGAATCTTCTTTCATCAGCTGCCTACACGATCCTACTCTACATCCACTGAAACAACCTCGCACAAGAATATACAAAAATAATCAAACATGCAGAAAGATACACCAAATCTATCAAAAATATATCAAAGAATTTACAGCTTATCAAAATATCACAAGCCAAAAATAAAAAATGACATCGAAAAATGAAACCAGATGAAACAAGTCCACTGGGTTGCACACAAGAACCAGTAGTGGATGGATTGAAAAAACTGAATCAGTTGAACCTTTTTGGTTCCGACCCAGCCCAAATTGCATGAATTAGCTGACATCAGGCATCTCACACAGGGCGCGGAGCAAGCGAAGCCACGGAGATCGCTCCTCTCGGGCAACCTGTTCCTTGAGGGATTTGAGATGCTTGTGCACGGATTCTCCGTACAAGGCCCGTTGGCGGGTGGAGTAGATGGACTCAAAATAGGCAGGAGACTTTGCCAAGACTTTGGTCCATGTCTGGTTCTCAGCCGATGGAATCTTCAGCCGGCACTTGCCATCTGAATCAAAGGCTGGCTTGGCTCCAAACTTGACTTTGTCAATCTCCAAAATGCTGGTCATCTCCTGCTGGATGAGCGACCTTCCCTGCGCGCTTCTTCTGAAATTGGCAGGTACGGGCTCAATCTTGGCTGCACACACCTTCAAATTCTTCTTCTTGCTTTTGGTCGTCTTGTTCTTGGCGTTGACCTTTTTGGGGTTCTTCTTCTCTGTCAATTGTGCACGCTTTCGTGCAATGATGGCGGACGTTTGTTTGAATGTTCTCATTCTCCGGCGGGGCTTCTTCTCTGAGTCCACGACATGCGTTCCAACGTAGCTGCACTTCCAACCTTCGGCTTTTCGTTCAATCGCTTCTCGCATGACCTGCACAGACTCCGGAGTCAGGGCGAAGACGCACTCATTGATGAGCTCATGCGCCGGTCTTCTACCTGGGAGCGCCAACAACATGTTTTGAAATTTTGTTTGAAGCGCACGCACGCCACGCTGAAAAACAAAATTGAATTCTGATGACTTCTGTACGATAAGATGCTGTCTTCACAATCCAACACTGCCACAAGCGAATCGAGTGGAACAATCTTGACTGTACTGGTTGCCCGACATGAGAAAAACATTGGTTTCTCCTTTGCAGGGCAATAGAGACCTTTATAAAATCACAAGTTCAATCCTTCAGTCTATCCATACTTAGACATTTAATTACATCTCGGTGAAAAAAACATACGAACTCTTGCGCGCTAAACCAATCGATCTATTATAAAATCACTTGCTCAAACCCCATGACCTTTTATTAACCAAACAAACCAACAAGGACACGCCAGCGCTGAGTAACCTGTTGGTATATAAAATCACGTGTTCAAGCCTGTCTTGCTTGCATACTTTATCATCTGAATCTTGATGATGTTGTCATATACTTTATGTATCTTTATGTATCTTGCCTTAACAACACTGCAATATAAAATTGGAAGCCAGTCCATCCCTGTCCTCAGATTGCTCAGCGACCACAACCCTGAAGCAATAGCAATTCTGAACCGGGCATGAATGAGCTGATGGCCGCCGCTTCTTGCCAATCCGCCAAACCACAAGAACTACACCAAGGCCAATCTGTTCATTGTTGTCCACAAAGAGCACTAGATTCCCGGACCTGCACTTTTCAGAGCAGTTGAGTAGAGACAGATTGAATGGAAAATGTCAAAAAAGACTTATATACAATAAAAGATTGCACTTGCATTTCAGGTTACTCGATGCTGTCTGGCTCAGGTAGTGCAACAGAAAAGGTTGATCTCAACTTCTTCCCTTGTTCATACCATCTCTCCAACCTCCCGGCTCTCACACGGTCTCGGTTCTCTGTGGCCTTCGCCTGCAAGACCTTCAGCTTCTGCTGATTTTCCTGACACCATGTCAATGGTCTCTTCCTTTTCGCTCTCGGATTCTTCAGCCACATGGAATCACAGCCGTCTGGCGCAGCCCGGAGGTACAAACACAAGCGAAATAGAGCGTTCCACTTGCAACCACCAAGTGACCTGACTCTGAAAATTTTCAACACAAACACCTCTATGAAATGGATTGACCTGACCTGTGCAGATTCAATACTACAACAAATAATTTGAGGCAGATGATATGACCCTATATTTCAATCTCGAAATGTGTCTATAAAATCAAGGGTTCCAGCCCGTAGTCTATATATATATTTTTTTTTAAGCTTTTGTATGTATATGCTTGTCGTTGATTTTCTGCTGACAAGGCGCAAGGCTTGCCGGAGCGTGGTTGGAAGCTTGCCTTCCGTGGATGTGGGCTTGGAAGGGGCAACCTCCTCCCTCAAGACTGGCTCCAACTCGGCCCTGGAGTCCTCATCCAAACGGCGCAAATCTACCGTCTGCAAAGTTGACCCTTCGCCATCCTGTCCCTCTTCCTCTGACGCTACAGTGTGGACTGCGGACTGCACGATCTCCCTCAAAGCCTGCTGGCAGCGCTGGTTCTCGGTCCTGAGCGAAGAGTAACCAACAATGAATCAAACATAATGTACGGGAACATCAAAATACATCAATACATCAAAAAGATTCAAAAAGCATCAAAATATATCAATACATCAAGATACATCAAGTATTGTATAAATACTGTGGGTAGAATACTATATTTTAAAAAATAATCCAAACGTTTTGTCACTCCAGCAAGTGACACATCTTGAGCGGCCTCGCGTTCATCATCAGATTCTTCTCCATTCCCGAACTCGGGTGCAAAGTTGTGAGACTTCTCAAACCAGTCTGCCTCGCACGATTCGATGTAGTAGGCTTTCAAAGACTCCACCGTGACATTCCCGGCCCACGCTGCAAGTTGCAGGGCTGAGGCGTACGCCCGTTCACAGCAAGAAGCAAACCTCATGTACGCATATGTACGCAGTGGACAGGCAAAACCATAGAAAAACTAAAAGATAAACAGAAGCCTTCAACAAACAAAAAGTTGCCGGATGTTTACACAAGAATTTCACAAACACACACACACAAAGAAAAAGGATAAACAAGGTGTCTTACTGCAATATGTTCCATGAAACTGAACATCCGTCAAGGGCGGCTCCTTGAAGTTGTCTTCTTTGAGCTCACCGAGCTTGCTGCGGTTTGCTGCAGAAAGCATCTCTTTCTGGCTGGACCACCAGAACTGCTTTGCTGTGAGTTGGGCGTTCGCCCGCTTGGTCCGTAAACGTCCAAACAGCTGCTCAATAGACAGCTCTGAAAGGCGTGCGTTGCCATGACGCCAAGGGTTCCAATTGTCCTGAGAAAGTCATCTGGTTAAAGAAGTGTACATATTTTATCATATATTTAAATATTATACATATATATATATATGTATATACAGACATATATAGATATACACACGCTTGGGGTCCAATACTGTCATTTTATAGAGTATACTTGAAGGCTATGCTATTTCAGCGATCCACTGTTTCCTGATCAGTATGGCAATATATATATATGTGTTGGACCTCACAACACTAGATTTTATAGAAACTGTGGCAAATAAGATTAAACATGATTAAACTGAACTTGATTAACATATATTCAAACTAAATCGTTAAAAACTTTTTCAAAAACTAGGTGAGTAGCCCGTTTCGTCAAAGCCATTGACACAAGAGCCAAGCAGACATTCTGTAAATTGTGGATCGTTTCCCTGGCCATGGAGAAGCTTCCCACAAAAACACCGGCAGCAGCCTCTTCCTTTGCTGCCATCAGGATCCATAGATCCCATAGCAGGTAGCCGGAAAGGGCTACCTCTGTCCGCTGCTGCAAGCTCATCGATTTGTGCATCATCGGTGCGTGGCACAGAGCTGTAGTCAAAGACCACAAAAGCGCTCCTCGATTCATCCATGGGATGGGGATCATGTCAACACTTCCCTGGCTGGAGTGGACAAGAAACCATGGATTTGATAGGAGGGCCTGTATGGCGTCTGATTGCGGGTCATCCCTTGCGTATGCACTTGCTGGCATTCCGCAGAGGAGAGTCCCCGAGAGATCTAGCCAAAATTGTCCAAACCGGACCGTGCGCAAAGATGATTGCGCTTGACCACCTGAGTTTTTGGCCGCGTGCGCAGGCCCTGGCAAACAATAGTAGACTTCTCCTTTGAATGTTGCCAGCTGAAGTGGAAATTTGGGCAAGCAATGCGGCGGCAACTTTCTGTATGACAGATGGCGAAAGAACTTGGAATCAAAGGATGCCAGGACGGCATGGTCTCGGTCCTGCAAAACGCCCTGCAAAGCACGACGTATCAGCTGGTGGCTACCGTGCGCATCAAAGCACAAACATTTCACAAGTTCTGCACCCCCATTTGCCATGAACTGATCGATGACCTGCGCCATAAACTTCCCGTCCACATCACTGATGGCTACTGGCATCTCCGCTGCACTGAGGCACAGTTGAACTCGGGCAGAGGGGTCCCAAACCAGGAGTTCTAGCCTCGCACACTGGAAAGGCATAGAATACATAGAATATATAGATTATATATTTAACTATATTTATAATATATATATATATATACCAAAACTAAACATCCATTGCTGGAACCAAAAGGTAGTCTATAAAATCACATGTAAAACCCCCCCCTTATTCTATAGAAACCTATAGATGACGGATGATGATGGATAGTTCTGTAAAGACCCATCCAAGAAACATGTCAGTCGCTGGCTTGATGGCTGTAAGGTCCAAGTCGTCATTCACCTCCACAGCTGCATGGCTATTGTCTTCAGGAGACCACGCGCCACCCACAATGGAAACAGTCCTCTCCTCTTTGTTGAAGTGTTGAGACTGCAGCTGGAGGAGGTAAGTGCAATCAAAGGCACAAATGCATCTACCTGACGCTGATCTCTATAAAATGTGAGGTACTGAAGATCTGCATAATTATGGAATAAAATGATTGCTACATATTGCATCATATTGCATTATATTGCTATATAGCTCTATATAGTTTCCACATGTTTCAAATATGCCTCTTGTAGGGGGTCATACCTAGTGATTCTATAGAGCAACTCACCTTGCAACTGGGTGCCAAGAAAAACAGTTGTCATTGAGAAAGAGAATCATAAAGAAACTACAAAAACATCAAAAACATACAAAAACCACGTTTGAGATACAACCGCTTGTCATGGTGGTCGCGCTCAAATGGTGGTCAATGAGCTGCAAGTTCTCTTGAACCTGAGTTGGCGTTGCCAGTGCCAGCCTTGGAGTAGGAAGCGAGTGAGCCCGCATGTCTTCAAACACTGACCTTGTGGCAGAGTTCTGGCCAAATCGCTTCAAAATCTCCTTGTTGCAGCCCAGGATGGCCAAGGTGGCCCCCGCTTCCTGCACCAACATGCGGCCTTCCTCAGTGGCTTGAATTGACGTAGCAGCGTTTCTGCCAGTCATATTGAGGCCTTTCTCTTGTCGATCCAACATTTTCAGACAGCTCATCGTCAGACCTTGGAGAAGTGGGTGATGCTGGAGCTTTCCATTGATTGTTGCAGATGCGATCTCTGCATTCACACGGTCCATCACCGATGCATCTCCGTTCTGAAGAAACTCTTGGAACAGGACTTGAGCCTGCAGGAGTTGAGGGCGGGTCTGCAAAGCTGATGTCACGTTCACCCTCATACAAGGATCTACCACAGTTTGCACAAAGCTGTGGAATGGCTCGCTCCTTCTGTTCACACTGATGCTGTGAAAGCTCATTCGCACCCACATCTGCAGCTCATGCGTGCGAAAATTGATGATGCGATCAAAAGGGGCCTGATGGAAAAGGTAAATTTCATCGGCTTTGATCTCAGCCTCCACATCCTTAAGCTTCTGATCACTGTGGTAGAGACGTGCCTGCAAGTGCTCTGCCGCAAACTTCTTCAGCACAAATTTGACGACCACTCGTCTGATACTGTTTGCCTCAGTCAGTTTCAAGCATTCTCCACACGTGGCCCTGCCTGCCCTGGACGTTGTGCACTTGGCCTGGCAGTTTGCATGTCTCAAAGTGAAAGTTTGAGAAGCAGAACAGAAGGTGTAGGAATGCTTCCGCAGTTCGGACGGAGCTTGCCAAGAAATCCATAGCTTGACGTGCTTTTGTAAGACGTTGAGACGTCCTCCAGACTTGTCATCAAGAGAAACTCCTTCACAAGGAACTGGTTCGGGAGGAGGCATAGGCCCATTACGCGCTGCAGGTGGACGCAATGACTCATGGAGTGCCAGCCTCCTTTGGTGCTGCATCGTGCTGCAATGCTGGTTAAGGAAAAAGAGGACATCCTTGCGCTTGGTGGTCACGGCATCAATGATCTTTCCCTCAGGTTGATTTCTGGAGGTACAAAGTGAGCAGCGGACGGGAATACGCTGCTTCCGTCCCAATTTGGGCACGACCTCCACCAAACACATCAAGAATATTCAAGAATCCATTGTTGAACAACGTTGTAGTAAAACCATGTAAAACCCTATAAAGACATATAAAATCACTTGTTCTGACATCGACTTCTGTATAATCCTCAAAACGGTTCATGAGGGTTATATAATCAATGTTTACTATACTTAATATAATGTATTATGTACCTTTAGTTCCTGCACGCAATACATTTTATATAGCATGGATATGCCTTGATCATGTCATACCCCAGCAAAGCCAAACCGATGCCTCCAAGAATGAACTGATAGACCGGACAAAGGCATGAAGCGATAGGTCTTCAGGTTCATGATCATCCGGAACCACCCCTGCATCGGGCGCATCCTTCTCCCCACTAGGGTTGCTCTCAGAGTGCGCATCAGCTGCAACTTGAATAGGGATGGGCTCTGTCGCCTCTCCAGCCTCTGCTAATCCCATGGCTTGCTCAGCTTCAGCAGCATCAAAGTGAAATTCATCCAGAAGTGACTTGCATGCTTCACACGTGATAGTTGAAGCATCCACATGTCCAAGAAGACTTTCCTGTAGTGTTGTGTATTGACCATCCGGACACGCAGCCGCCTTCCGGCATCCCGCAGCCCTGACACAAGCACATGCAATGATATACAATATCCAATGATATAAGATGATATAAGAACATTATATAACGCAAATTAAAAAACCAATGACCCAATGACCGCGCCTCCAATGGAAACGCATCCACTCAGGATATGTAACTCCAAGACGTGCCAAGTAGTTTCTGAGGCCCTTGACTCTCAACTCACGACTGGTCTTTGCTTTCTTGCGAGCAGCTCGGCTGCGAGCAGGCTTTAGATCTGAAACGGGTTGGTCCTCCTCATCTTCCTTTTTGGTCTCCAGCATGTCTAACTCTGGATCTTCCATTGCTTCCAAAGGATTTTGCTCAGGAACTGTCTGTTTGCGTTGTCCTTTCCGATCTGGCTGCCGCAAAGTCCCAACGGCGCATGCCTTGGAAGCTTCAAAGCCTGGAGCCTTGCGATCTCGGCGAGGTTGCTTTGTTGGTTTTCCCTCTGGAGTCACAATGTCAAAGCAAGCAACTTCTTCTACTGGGCGCTTTGGTGGGGTTGAAGATTGACCCTTCTCAGTCTTCACCTCTGAAGGCCTTGCGCCCTTTGAAGGCTTGTCATTCTGAGTCTTCTCAGTCTTCACCCGCGCAGGGATACAGAGCTCTCGATCATCATGAATGTACATCTTCTCATGGAGACGCTCCCAACCTTTGTCGTGTATCTTGGAAAGCCAGGCAGAAGACAGGGTTTGCCTCAAATCATGGACAAAGCCCACATGCTCTGGATTGGAGACGTCCAGGGCGGTGCCGAAAAAGTCTTGCTCCTGGAGGCATTTTATTGTCCAAAGCAAACAATTTCCATCTGCTGGTACATTGACAGGATGCACCTGAATTTTGTGACAGCGGGCGACAAAGTCTTGCCAATTAGTCAAGGACATCCACCTCTCTTCACAGTTGGCCAGCATATGTTTTGCTTTCTCGGTCACGCTTGAAGAACCTCCGTGCAATTCCTTCATTCTCAAGTAGTGAGAAGCACGATGCTGCTGCTCTTGCTCTAGCACAAGCATCTTATGTGCGAGAAGATCCTTGCTGCCCTGGACAATCCTGTTGTACTCCTCTTCACCCAACTCGTCTGCAGAAAACCCGGGAACAAAGTGGTTGAATCCATAGTCTGAGTTGAACGCTGCGTTGCAATAGATGATTGTCCAACATGGGGCTTCCGTCCGGTCTTGTAAATCTCCATAGCATTCTGGTTCCAAGTCACGAATGAAACCAAACATGTCTCTGGGCTCCAAAATCGCCTTGCCAGGAAGGTCCACCACGAAATGAACATCCTAAGCTGGCAAAGGAAGATGCATGACAGGTCAGCAAGTTGTGTACCTTGTGTCTGTAGTCCTATCTTTTGGTTGGCACTGGGGGGTGCAACGTAAAATATATAACACGTGACCACCACATATTTCCTATAAAATCTATACGAATGACCTACCCTGAAATCATAAAGTTGTTTCTGTTTCCATCACGACCAGGCTCCATGCTCATGAAGGTGCCCATCATGCCAATATCCACCACATCCAACCACTCGCCATCCTTTACAACATTGCTGGCATGCTTCGCCTTGAAGCGCCGCAAGGCACATGTGTATATAAAACATATATATACATATTAGATCATATTAGAACATGAAGGAAATGTCATTTGCCACTTGGTCAAAGTCACCAGAAGACTTGAGCAGCCTTTTGAGTTTGAAGCAGTGCTTCCAGAGGCTGGATCTCCTCCGTGTTCAAAAGCGGTCGTACATGTAGTTGATTTTATCTGCAAATAAGAGGTCACGACATGTCATAATATAGACAAATACGAATTTCCCATGCCCTGTCCTTTTGTCTTCCCTCTGTCACAGTCAGCCTGGTGGCAAAATAAACACTGAACAATAATATACACTGAACTATAAGATGTATAAGAACATGCTGCCAAATACACACTACCAAGACCATTCAAGATCTATGAACGCATTGCAATAAGATCTCTGAAGCGACCAGGCCTCTTTCTTCACTCTCACCGCCGGGAAAGATTTGCCAGAGCAACCTAGATAATGTTTGATGTATACGTGAACAAAGGTGCAGTCACTACATTTTATAGACAATAATACTGCGTAGCTCCACAACGCTGGCCTTCCGGTTTGACTGGCTGCACGACACTCTGCAAAAGCGCTGACAGCGTGGTCGGTAAAGAGCCTCTTAGAAACAACACAATATATCAAACTATCTACATCATTGGCGACTAAGCCATTCATTTCATAGAACGCTTGAAGGCAACGTGTGGCAGCCATGAGTGCACAGCCTGGTTGTTGGCTATCCTCATCGTTTGCGCAACCTGAAGAGTCAACACAACACACAATCAGTGGGCACAGGGCACACAAAACTTCTCCATGGCAGCCATGGACAGCCTCGTTCTTCACTGAAACCTTGCGCTTCTTTGTTTTGGATAAGCAGCCTGCACATGCATGGCTCCCTGATGCTTCATATGAAATAACGAGGTCACACCCTTGCAATTTATAGAAAACGTTGATGCAAATTTGAGAATGTCTTCATCATCCCTGTTTTGACCCAGCCACCTTCACTGTCACAGCCCGGAGGTTGTTGAGGCGGTGGCAACGGAGGCGGTTGTCCTGGTCATGTTTGCTGCAGAACATTTACTATATAATACATAGCCCTGTCACCTTTGCATCCAATAGAATAAGCAGAAACGGGTTGCATGGTGGCGCTGATGATTGTCAAAACTAGACTTTCTATAGATTTCTATAGCAACACATTATCAACTTAATACATATTAAATCATATTAATACATATTAATACTATAATAAATTAGCGTGAAATAACCTCTATATGAACATATTACTTTCACATTCTTTCAATACCTTTCATATACTTTCCTGAAATCCATTGATATATATATATATAACATTTTATAACAATAAAGATCTATAAAGTTCCCTCAAACCCTTCATTTTATAGACCACTCCAAATTCCCACGTGGAAGTGTCGGACAGGCCACTCCTGCCGCTTCCTGCTGTGTGGTCTCTGCTGGTGGCTCCGGTCGATCTTGAGGTGGTCCTGGTGAAACAAAAAATGCAGATTTGGTGGGACTGGACTTGCCATTCTATAAAGACTTCATGAGGTTTCACTAGTCATCTTTGACTTCTGATGAGGAATTTGAGACAAGCATGTTGAAAACAAATATTGTTGAACATGACGTCCATACGCTTCAAACTATGGAGAACATGGATGAACATGGTAACTCCCGAAAGAAATTCCCATGCGCAAGCGGACTGCCCCGCTCCTGTCTCATTCTGCTTTGTGGCCTCTGCTGGTGGCTCCGGTCGATCTTGAGGTGGTCCTGGTGAAGCAAAAAGTGCAGGTTTGGTGGGACTGGACTTGCCATTCTATAAAGACTTCATGAGGTTTCACTAGCCATCTTTGACTTCTGACATCTTCTGACAAGGAATATTAAACAAACATGTTGAAAACACATATATTTGAACATGATGCCCATACACTTCAATCTATAGAGAGCATGGTGTTACCTGATGGATATTCCCAAGTGCAAGTGAAATGCCCCGCTCCTGTCTCAT